GCCCACCACATGGAGACCACCTCTTCCCAATCGGGGTCATACTCTAGCTGTGACATGCACATCCGATCTCCTAGCCTAGTATCCTTGAGAGCCCCCCGCAGCCAACTCTTGATGACGTTCTGGCATGCAAACCCGCGCTCGCACTCGACAGTGCTCAACGGAAGGACAGCCACCGTCACCCACATGTTGACCAGGTTGGGGTAGCTATCCCTTGAGTCCTGCGTCTTGAGCATGGCGCTCAGCCCGCGTGGAATGACTTGTCCGCCTTGGGAAGCGCAGCAAGGACGGGGACGAAGTTGAGGAGCTCGCTTTGGGCTTTGCGCTTGTTTATACCTGCTCAGACAAGGGCACACAAGGAGAGGGAGAAGGGTTGGGTTATCAAAAACAGTACACAACTAGTAAAAGATAGATGTCTTGCTGAACAAATATATTGCCGAAGGGATACTGGAAGGAGTAGATGGTGATTCAGCTGGCAGAATCTCGTCCTTGTCTTCAGCGTGGTACATGACCACGACCGAGTTGAACCACTCGAGGCACTACGTCCTCCGTGCCTGTTGGTCCTAGTTGGGCGGCCATGTGTCGACGCTGAACAGGCGCGCTCCTGACAGCTGCCGCAGATCGCCTAGGCGCTCGTCGAGGTTGCAGACCAGGCCCTCTGCCAAAGCCATGCACGTCACGACACTCCCATCATGGTCGCTGGGCCCCGCGTAGTCCTCTTGGGGTTCTTCGTGCAGCTCGAAGGTGAACCGTGAAGGTCAGCCGTCAGAGTCGATCCCCTCCACTGTCACTAGCTTGGACTTGCCGAGCCCGTGCTTGGCGAGGAACCGCGTCAATCGATCGTTGGGCCTGCCGATGAAGTCATCTCCGCAGTCCACGTAGCGGAGGTCGTGCGGATGATTTGTGCGTGCACCAACGTGTAGTCCAGCTGGTGGGTAGGGGGGTGAAGAGAGGTAGGGCATCACAGATGGATGTGTGGTTAAGGGACGACCGGCAGAGACAAGCAACGACATCGACAATCATGCAAACAAAAGCATTAAACAAGTTTACCTCCCACTGCTGGAAGACCTTGTTGAGGACGTTCAGCAGCTCCAGCACATCGGCGGGGAACAATAGGAGGAGCTAGAAGCAGTAGCTGGTAACGAGCGCGTAGAGCTTGGCGTCGTACTCCTGCAGCATGACCACGGTGGTCGGTAGAACCTGGACTAGGCGGATGACCGCATCCCCGCGCGATAGCCAACGCATGTTGTGGATGCCCTGGAGCTCGAGGTTCGCCGACATGAATACGTCTTGGAGCTCCAGAAACCGTTGATGCCAAGGTTTGGAGCGACCGAGCAGCTCAGCGATCTCTCGAATGACATTGTCCACCATGCTGAAGACAGGGATCTCCTCGGCAGCCGCCTTCGCTGCCAGCGCCTCTCTGCGTGGGATAGGGAGATGAGGTGCAAACTAGGAAGCAAATATACTTGGCATGCACACAACAATCGGATGATGAACGGATGGCCAATGCAATGGCAAGAGACAAGGTGCGGAACGCGAAGACGAAGGCGTGCCACAAGTCCAGAGCGCAATCCCATCATGACGGCAGCGCCATCAGTGCTTATGCCAGAGATGCGGCCGAGGTCGACGCCAATCGCCTGCAGATGGGACAGCAAGAGTGCGATAAGCGATGCCGCATCCGCCTTATCCACAGTCACCAGAACCAGGTACTCGGTTACAAGCCGCCCTTCCTGGATGAACGTGGCAAACATGATCATGTGCTTGCCACGACGGCGATCGGTGCTTTCGTCGAGGCTTAGGCCAATGCAGGGACTGGCCAACAGGTGTTGGAATTGAGTCGTCTGCAGCCACGTTGCCGTCGCTTGTGTCAGCTCGCCGAAGTCGTACCTGTTACATGACACGCACAAGCCAACTTGTTGTAAGTTTCATATGTAAAGACGAGACAAAGAGAAGTTCATAGTCACTAGAGTTCTCACCAATTATAGTACGTGCCGTAGGCAGACTTCGGGAAGCCCTTGAAACCGCGCGATGAGAGGTAGCGCACCAAACGAATCCATATTTCCATGGGTTCGTTGCACTTGGCACAAAAATAGGAGTCGAGCAGGGCGATGACTCGCTTCTTCTCTTTGTCGGCCGCGCGGGGATGCATGTCGATCCGCTGCTGGTTCGACGCCAGTTGCAGGAGATCGGCATGCTTGGACATGGCGAGGTGATGCTTCTGTGTCCCGGGGTACTTCTTGAACAACTGGGTCTACACGTCGGTAGCTCCCTTGCCCGATTTGCTGGTAAGCCTTGCAGGTCCTGCATACAATGCGCATATACTGCACTTGAAGGTCGGGAGCCCATCGTCAGTTTTCAAGAGCATGAACCAAGGGAATCTGTCAGACCAGTAAGTTTTGAAATGCTCTTGTGCATCAGCATAGATGTCCTCATTCGTTCTCGCAGTGGACCTGCCGCCAGACGATTCTGGCGTATCCGCAGGTACAGAGGGGCTCGGCACTGGCTCAGACGGATCCTGGCATGTCGACGTGGAGGCGTACGGCAGAATCACCTGCCTGTAGCGGAACCTCTTCGTCGCCGTCACCGATGGAGAGGAGCTCAAGCAGCGGGCAGGGGACTTGCATCCGCAGAAATTTTGCCTGCTTTGTTAAGAACAGGTGCATCGCCATCAGCAGGGGCAGCGTCACTAGGCTTCCTCGGAGGGATACGATCGGAGGCATCGGACTGCAGCAGGAACTCTAGCGCGGCGCGACCATCGCGGAACTTCTCGGCACACCAATACTCTTCTTCTTCTTTGTCATGATCTGCCTCATCTACGTCATCCAGGTCGGCCTGCTCCATGGCCTGCAGGCGCAGTAGGAAAAAAAACACACTGATAGAAAACCGAGGGGCTACACGAAGTTTGGGTGAAGCTTTGCTGGAGGGGGGACAAGCAAGGTAGTTTTTCCCGTCAGTAATGAACTAAGGGAGAAGGAGGGGGTATGCCAGCTGCAACTCCATCGCAACACAAGAGAGGTTGTTTATGCATGAATGAACCAGACACTCATCGCGTCAGCATGGTTGCGGTGCCTCGTCTGTTGTGCCTCGCCCATTAGAATGCCTCTGGATTGGTGAAACCAGCCATGTTTTGGTCAAGGACCAATCGGCTGCTTGAGCTATCTCAGTGCTGGCGCCAACACACAAAATGTGCCCGCCCAATGGCTTGGGCCACGCCTGCGCAAATGAAAATTTGGCGTGATTGACGGTGACGACAGAGGTACCAGCGCAAATCTCGCACCCCCGCTTCAAATGACGGTATTACAGGAATCAGAGTTCCCCCCCATACAAGGATGAAGCATCAGAGTACACTGTCAACTTATACATATGTTTATATGTAGAAGTTATAGGCTAGATAGGTTTGCATTCATAGAGGGTACAAATCCAACCATATATCCTATCCTGTACTCCCCTATGTCTTCCTCGGTTTCCCCCTTGACTCGTCTGACTAGCACTTCTACCACCCGCCGTCTCATCGCTTCTTTCACTCCCATGATGTCACTTTCGACGAGTCTGTTTCCTTTTACCACCGCTTACCCCACCGAGGTCTCCCGGTTTCCCCGCCCCTGTTTCTGGTTCCCACTCCCCCGGTAGCCCTTGCTCCCCTCCCTCCCCGTCCTGCCCCGTTTGGTGTGTCTCACGTCACAGCCCTCCCGTCGGTTGTCCCGGTCGAGGAGTCGGCTGACTCTGGTGGCCCTGCGGCACAGTTCTCTCCACCTTTGGCTCCCCCGGTGTCTCCTCCTCCGCTGTCGTAGCAGCCACCGCCGTCGTCGCCGCAGCCGTCGTCGCAGCCGCAGCAGCAGCCGCCGCCGCAGCAGCAGCCGTCCGTGGACCCTGGGGGTGCGAGCGTTGAGGAGGGTGCTAGTCCTGGGGTTCCTGCCGTGGCTTGTCCCGGCGGTCCTGGGGGTGGCACCGGTGCTGGAGAGGGTTCTCATTCTGGAGGTTCTAGAAAGGAGCATTCCGGAGTTAGTCGTGGTGCAGGGTGAGGTTCTGGTGTAGGCGTGGAGCAGCAGCAGCAGCAGTCGCCACCGGTGTCCGCCCTTCGCCTGCTCGGCCTTCCCTCCCCTGACCACCCGCTCGCGCCTCTCTCCCGTCACCGCCTCCTCTGGCTGTCTACGGCCCTGTGTTTCCTCTGTTGGACTCGTCCTCGGCTCATTTCCCCCCTTGTATCCCCTCCTGTGTCTCCTGACCCGACGCCTTCGTCCCACTTCTGGTCCTGTCGTCCCTCTCGTGCTCGTCATGTCTCTCCATTCCAGCGCTCTCACCCCATGTTGCTGCGTTCCCACTCGTCTCGTCCCCCCCTCCTCCCCTCACCTCCTCCGTCCTCGCTCGTTGTTGCTCCCCTTCCTCTGTCTGACTACCTTCATGCCGCTCGTCCTCTTGTTCCTCGGGTCCTTGCCTCCCTCGTTACCGACCCGTCTGTTCCTGTCTCGAGTCTTAACGCTCTCGTTGCTGCTGCCGCTTGGTCTAGTTCCTGTAGCTCCTCACTTGCGAGGACCTTAATTGTGTACTCTTTATATATACCTTCTTGACTGTCCTTGTGGCTTCTCTTCTAGTGGCCGGACAAACAGTGCCGCCCTGTTTTGCTCTTGTTGGGCTTGTACTCTTGTTGACTGGTCTTCGGACCCCTACCTCAGAGGTCGAACTAGTAGTGCCACCCTGAATTGCACGTTTCTTGCTCACCATTGCCCCTTTTCTAGCCTAGGGGGTGTGTCAATTTATACGTATGTTTATATGTAGAAGTTATAGGCTAAATATGTTTGCATTCTTAGAGGGTACAACTCCAACCATATATCCTCTCCTCTACTCCCTTGTGCTATCCATTCTGTTATTCTAAGATACACTTGTAAAAGAAGTCTGAAAAATCAGCGTAGGTACATAAAACTTCTCTGAAAAATCTGAGTAACGTAGAAAAATTAGTATTTGGATCAGAGTACTATCAGAAATGAGAATTGAATAGATTGTAAAGTGAGAGTACACACAAGTATACCTAAGTGTTGTACCCTCTAAGAGGTAACCCTATACAGTCTATACAAACATGACAAATGCAGATGTTTGACACACCCCCTAGACTGCATAGGGGAATACCCTAAACAAGCAGCTCAGGGCGGCACTACTAGTCCAACCTCTGAGACAAGGGTCTGAGAGACCAGTCAGAAGGAGTACAGACAAGGCAAGAACAAGACCAGGGCGGCACTACTAGTCCAGCCACTGGGAGAGGACACAAGTCCAGTCTGAGTATACATATAAAGGACAGTACAAGTCAAGGTCCTAGCAAGTGAGAAGCGACAGGAACTAGACCAAGCTGGACACAGTGCCGCTGATGATCTTTAGGCGCAAGCGCCTTCGTAAAGATATCAGCTGTGTTGGCACCTGAGGCCAAGTGTACTACGCGAGCCTGACGTCGCTGCTGTAGCTCACGCAGGAGGAAGTACCGCAGCTGAATGTGCTTCGCTCTGCCCTCGAGTCGAGGCTCCTGACACAGGAGGATCATGGCCCGGTTGTCAGCGAACAGGACCGGGGCAGAGCTAGGCCGCTCACCTAAGTCAGTGAGCAAGAAGGTCAGCCAGCGGAGCTCCTGTGCCGCCATGGCACCAGCGTAGATCTCAGCCTCACAGCTGGACTGTGCAACAGACGAGGAGCGAGTAGCTCTCCACGAGACGGCACCTGAGCCAAGGCTGAAGCAGTAGCCCTGGGTAGACCTGAGTGTCTCAGCGTCGTCTGCCCACGAAGCGTCTGTGTGTCCAGTGAGGACCACTGGCCTGCGTCCTCCAAGCACTAACCCCATGCCCGATGTACTAGCAAGATAACGCAGAACCCTCTTAGCGGCAGACAAGTGCTGCGGTCGGTGTCTGCCTGTGGCCACAAAGCGCGCCAGGATGCTGAGAGGGTATGCGAGATCTGGGCGAGTGCAAGTCATCAGGTACATGAGGCAACCCACCAGCTCTGCGTAGGGGCCACTGGGCTCTACTGACTCCTCAAGTACTGGAGCGGAGAGTCTGTGGTCTACAGGCAGAGGGGTGGGCTGTGCAGAGGAGAACTGAAGGCTGAACCTCTGAAGGACCTGGCGCACCAAGTGTGACTGAGTCAGGGTGATGGTGCGCGCAGCTCTGTCCCTGGAGATCTGCAAGCCAAGGTAACGGCGCAGTTCTCCAAGGTCAGTGCAGGTGTGTCTCTTCAGCAGCTCTGCCTTCACAAAGGCCAGTGCGTCCCTGTCTGCCGTGGCAAAGACCAGGTCGTCGACGTAAACAAGGATGTAGAACGGAGTCTGGCCAGCACGAACGAAGAGTGAAGGGTCTGCGGAAGACGGAAAGAACTGCAGGTCAGCAAGCGTAGCACGAAGAGTGTCGTGCCACTCACGGGGAGCCTGGCGCAGGCTGTAGACGGGGTGCTGCAGGAGCCACTGGGTCCCAGGAGGGAAGGTGCCGGTAAAGCCCGGAGGGCGACGCAGGTAGACCTGCTCGTGTAGGCTGCCCTGAAGGAAGGCAGTGGAGAAGTCGAGGGAGTGAAGCTCGTAGTCACGCTGAGCAGCTACGTGTAACAGAACCCGAAGAGTAGTCATCTTCGGGGTCGGAGCGAAAGTCTGGAAGAAGTCCACGCCCTCGCGCTGACTGAAGCCTCTAGCAACATAGCGCGCCTTGAAGACAGGCGGCTCTCCAGGAGGGCGCTTCACCTTGAAGAGCCAGCGGCCATCGACTACGTTCACCCCAGGTGGGGGAACTGCGTCGACGAAGGTGCCGGTGGATCTCCAAGATGCCATCTCCTGCTCCATGGCAGCTATCCACTGTGAGGCCCAGGGTCCCGAAGTCGCCTCAGCGTAAGTGCGAGGGGTCGGGATGTCGAAAGCGTCTGGGTCACCCTCAGGGACTAGCAGCATGGAACAGAGATGGGGAGCAGCCTCAGACAGGAAAGCAAGCTCGAACTGGCGGTCCTCCAGGACGTCACTGCCAAGGGCAGGAGCACCCCCGACAGACGGAGGACAGGCAGGGTCAGAGACCAGAGCTGTGGCGTAGTCAAGGCGGCGGGTAGAGGCGAAGTCAGCGACAGCAGCGACAAGAGCGTCAAGGCACGAGACCGGAACAGACGGGTCGGTAACGAGAGAGGCAAGGACCCGAGGGACGAGAGGACGAGTGGCACGAAGGTAGTCGGACAACGGGGGGGGCGCAACAACAAGGGAGGACGGAGGAGGCGACGGGAGAAGGGGAGGACGAGACGCGTGGGAACGAAGCAACATAGGGTGGGAGCGCAAGACAGGCGAGGCAGGACGAGCACGGGAGGGCCGGTGAGACCAGACGTGCGACGGAGGAGTCGGGTCAGGAGACAGGGGAGGGGACACAGGAGGGGAACGAGGGGGGAGACGAGCCGGGGACGAGTCCGGCGGAGGGAAAACAGGGCCGTAGACAGGAAGAGGAGGAACCGACGCAGGGTCGGGGGACGGAAGGCCGAGCAGGCGAAGGGCGGACACCGGCGGGGACCGCTGCTGCGGCGGCACAACGGCGACACCTGGACCGCAAGCTGCTCCTCGGCGACCACCGGCACTCTCCACACCAGCACCCCCAGAGGGACCACCCCCACGGCGACCGGGACGAGCACCCCCAGAGTCGGCGAACGGGGGCTGCGACGGTGGCGGCGGCGGCGGCGGAGGCGACGGCGGCGGCGGCGGCGGCGGCTGCAGCAGCGGTAGGGGCGGTGGAGGAGGGGACTGAACAGGAGGGCCACCAGAGGCAGAAGACTCCTCAACCGGGTCCACGGACGGAAGGGGGGTGACGTGGGACACACCAGAGGGGGCGGGACGGGGAGGAGGAGGAGGAGGGGCAGGGACTACCGGGGAAGGGGTGACCAGGAACAGGGGGGGGGTAACCGGGGGACCACGGTGGGGAAAGCGGCGGTAGTAGGAGGCGGACTCGTCAAAGGTGACGTCACGAGAGTGAAAGAAGCGGTGAGACGGCGGGTGGTAAAAGTGCCAGTCGGACGCGTCAAGGGGAAAACCGAGGAAGACGCAGGGAAGGGTGCGGGCAGTGAGCTTGTCCGTGCCGGAGGCACGGACGTGAGCAAGGCAGCCCCAGACGTGGAACGCAGACGCGTCACCAGGGGACCCAGTCCAAAGACGGGTCGGCGAAACCTGCGGCTGATGAGGGTGCGGCCACAGGTTAAGCTGGTGAGAAGCGTAGCGCACAGCGAACGGCCACAGAAAATGGGGTGCACCGGCATGGATCATGGAGGTGCGAGCGACCTCCATGACCAAACCGATGCGTCGCTCAGCGACCCCATTCTGCTGTGGGGAGTCCGGTAGGGTGAACGTCTGGGTGATGCCCTCCGCACGACAAAAGCGACCAAGGACACCGGAGGCAAACTCGCCACCACGGTCTGAGTGAAGACGCAAGACAGGGAGACCGCGGTGGACACGCGCAGAGACAAGCCAGGGGATGAGAGCGCCAGGCACGTCGGCCTTGCGCTCCAGGGGAAAGACGGTGGCGTAACGAGTGAAGTCGTCGACAAGCACAAGGAAGTAGCGCTCTCGACGCGGCCCAGGGACGGGGGCGGGGCCCCAGACGTCCAGGTGCAGGGTCTGCAGCGGCGCGGCGGTAGGGGGAAACGAGGAGGAGTGAGGGGCACGGCGAAGCCGACCCTCGACACAAGGCGTGCAAGGTGGGGCTGGAGAGGAGGGAAACGCGGGGAGCGAACCTGGGAGACCAAGGACGAGACCGTGCTGAGACATGTGACGCAGACGCGGGAGCGCAGGGTGACCTAGGCGGTGGTGCCACAGGAGGGTCGGGTGAGTGAGGGAGCGACAGGAGCAGGCAGCAGCAACCTGGGTAGACGCAACCACCTGAGGGGGCGCTCCAGCCGGGGGGGTCACGGTGTCCAGAGTGAACAGGCCGGACACCGGGTCCCGGGGGAACGTGGACAGGGGGGCACCAGTGGCGGCCTCGGTACAGACAGCATACCGCTCGTGACCAGGGAACGTAGTGGTGACGCCAAGGTCCTGGAGGCAGCCGACACCAACTAGGTTCCAGGAGAACGAGGGGATATGCAGACCTGTAAGAGAGCCCGAAGGAACCGCCGGACAGGGAAGGGTGGTGTAACTGCGGGCGACTACCGGACCGCCGGAGGGGTCAGCAAGAGAAACGGCAGCAGGAACAGGAAGCGGCGTCAGGGTGGTGGAGTCGCGGAAGAAACACCGAGAGGCGCCAGAGTCCAAAGTGAAGGAAAGCGAAGCCGAGGGGTCTGGCGACGAAACGACTGCGGAAGCACCAAGACTACACAAAGCAGGGGATCCTACGCCTGACGCAGCAGGGGAGGCTAAGCTAGGCACACATACACTAGGCAACAGTGAGTAATAAGCAGGAGGCACACTAGAGTCATCAGCATACATCACATGCAGAGCAGAAACAATGGCATCCATGTCCATATCAAAAATCTGAATCTGACGACTAAGCAAACTGTGCCAGTCCAGGAGGTCTGGCGACGGGCCGAAGCGCTGACGAAAGAGGTCGTCCAGGCGACGAAAACAGCGGGGAGTGGAGTGACCGAGCTTACCGCAAACGAAGCCGCGGCGAGGACCGGTCTGGATCTGGTACTGGCAACGCCCGCCGCCAGAGCCACCACGCGGCACACCACCACGCGCCCGGCCACCGCCAGCGCCGGGCCACCCTGGCGGGAGGACACTCGTCTGCCGCGTCTGCGACGGCTGCTGCGGCTGCTGCACCTGCAGGGGCGGCGACTCAGCTGAACTGGGCAGGGTCCCCTCGTCCACTCCAGCACCAGGCGACCCGACCCCACCACTACCCCCGCCCGCACCCCCGCCGCCTCCTCCGCCGCGCCCAGCCTTGGGGCGGCGACCCTTCCCCGAACGGACCTGCGCTGCAGCAGCAATCTCAGCCACTGCGGCAGAGCCGTCGGAGAAGGTGCACTGAGCGGGGGCACAACCCTGAAAGATAGGGACCGGCACGACACCGCTCGCCTGGGCAATGGAGCGGTGACGGGTCTCTATCACAGTCAGGGTGTCTACAAAGCCAGTGAGGGTGAGGTCTGCGGGGTGAACGCTAAGAAAGCGGTCGCGGGCGACAGCAAGGCGGTCAGGGAGGCGGGTGGCAAGCAGGTAGAGGGTAGAGGTAATGGGCGGCTGGTGGGCTCTAAGCTGGGCGTCAGTGCAGGCAGCGCGCCAGGTCTCATCTATCGAGCGCAGGTGGGCAGCGAGGTCAGAGACAGTGGGGAAAGATGCAAGGTCAGGAAAGAGCATCGGAAGGATCAGGCGACCCACCGAGGGAGCCGGAGGGGTGGAATAGCGCTTGATCACAGCATCTAAGTATGCCTGAGCAGTAGTGAGGGACCTAAAGCGAGGACGCTCGGATGGGGGAAGGGCGTTGCTAATGGCAAGCTGGGCAACAGCATCGCGAGAAAGCCAGACAGAGCGCGCACGGACAGTGGCAGCAGTAGCCTCACGCTCAGTGGGTGTGGGGTCAGCGGACAGAATAGCAGGGGGGTCTGGGCAGGGGAGCGTACCGTCAAGGTGTGCGGAAAGCGGTTCACCATCCTGCCGCTGGCCAGTGAGTTGACGGCGGAGGTCAGCAAGCCACGCCTCGAACTCTAGGGGCTGGCCTTCAGCGTCGAAGCGAAGCTCCGCCGCCATCAGGAACAGTCCAGTGCAGTGCAGGGCAGTGCAGTGCGGAGCAGTGCGATGCAGTGCGGTGCAGTGCAGTACAGTGCGGTGCAGTGAGGTGCAGTGCGGTGCAGTGCGGTACAGTGCGGTGCAGTGCAGTGTAGTGCGGTGTAGTGCGGTGCCAGGCAGTACAGTGTGGTGCGGGGCGGCACGGAGCAGGGCGGGGTGGGGGGGGAACCGTACCAGTGAGGAGGACGGGGCCGGGGCTGGCCCAACGGGGCCGGGCGGGCGCGACGGGGCCGGGCTGGTGCGACAGGGCCGGGACGGGGCGACGGGGCCGAGCGGGCGCAACGAGGCCGGGCTGGGGCGACGGGGCCGGGCGAGTGCGGCAGAGCCGGGCCGGTGCGACGGGGCCGGGCGAGCGGGACGGCGACCGGGCGGCTGCGACGGGGCCGGGCGGCTGCGACGGGGCCGGGCAAGGGCGACGGGGCCAGGCGGCTGCGACGGGGCCGGGCGGGCGCGACGGGGCCAGGCGGCTGCGACGGGGCCGGGCGGGCGCGACGGCGCCGGGCGGGCGCGACAGGGCCGGGCGGCTGGGACGGCGCCGGGCGGGCGCGACGGGGCCTGGCGGCTGCGACGGGGTCGGGCAGGGTGCGATGGGGCCCAGGAGGGGCGCGACAGAGCCCAGGAGGGGCGCTACAGGGCCTGGGCGGAGCGCGGCGCGGCCCAGGAGGGGCGCTAGGGGGCCTGGGAGGAGCGCGACGGGGCCCAGGAGGGGCGCTAGGGGGCCTGGGAGGAGCGCGACGGGGCCTGGGAGGGGCGCGACGGGGCCTGGGAGGGGCATTACAGGGCCCAGGAAGGGCGCTACGAAGCCCAGGAGGGGCGCGACGAGGCCCAGGAGGGGCGCTACGGGGCCCAGGAGGGGCGCGACGGGGCGCTCGGGGCCTGGGAGGAGCGCGACGGGGCCCAGGAGGGGCGCTAGGGGGCCTGGGAGGAGCGCGACGGGGCCTGGGAGGGGCGCGACGGGGCCTGGGAGGGGCGTTACAGGGCCCAGGAGGGGCGCTACGAAGCCCAGGAGGGGCGCGACGAGGCCCAGGAGGGGCGCTACGGGGCCCAGGAGGGGCGCGACGGGGCGCTACGGGGCCTGGGAGGAGCGCGACGGGGCCTGGGAGGGGCGCGACGGGGCCTGGGAGGGGCGTTACAGGGCCCAGGAGGGGCGCTACGAAGCCCAGGAGGGGCGCGACGAGGCCCAGGAGGGGCGCTACGTGGCCCAGGAGGGGCGCGACGGGGCGCTACGGTGCCTGGGAGGAGCGCGACGGGGCCCAGGAGGGGCGCTAGGGGGCCTGGGAGGAGCGCGACGGGGCCTGGGAGGGGCGCTAGGGGGCCTGAGAGGAGCGCGACGGGGCCCAGGAGGGGCGCTAGGGGGCATGAGCGGAAGCGGTAGGTGGGGGGGATCCTACCTACGCGTGATACCATATCAGAAATGAGAATTGAATAGATTGTAAAGTGAGAGTACACACAAGTATACCTAAGTGTTGTACCCTCTAAGAGGTAACCCTATACAGTCTATACAAACATGACAAATGCAGATGTTTGACACACCCCCTGAAAAACTCTGAAAAAGTCTGAATCAAAGTAAAAAATTTGCAATTTGGGGCCTGCCCTACGCGTCTGCACTCTTTAAGCCCGCTGGGCTTGATAAGTGGCCGTGCCTATATCCGGGTGATTATGGTACAAAAAAGTCTTCGTAATCGAAGTACACCCCTAAAAAACTCTGCAAGAAGTCTGAATCAGAGTAAAAACTCGGCAATTTGGGGGCCCCAGAACCTCTACCAGACCCGGCCAAAAAGTCGGGTCGGGTCAGGTGTATTCTGCTCATGCCTTGTATGTTGGATCTGTTACTTCCAGCTGGTGCACGCAAGCTTATAAAAGCAACTACTGCATGAGTCAAAACATGGGTCTATCCTCTAATTTCAACACATCTTTAGTGCTCCGGATAAGACTCTCACAGCACAAATTACATGAGACAACAGGACGATGCGTTACTACCAAGGCACTGTACCTTGTAGCAACTTGGCAAGAAAAGGAGATTGCCCCCCCTCTTCCCCCCCCTTCTCCCTGCACAACTGCTGACTGCCAAACGGGCTTGTGGGCCCTTCCAGCTCCTGCAGCTGCGAGTACCAGTAGCCTGCCTCCTCCAAGCGCTCCAAAGATGTATATTCAAGAGGGGTGCGTGCAGGTTTGCACATGCATATACGTGCATACGTGTGTGTGTGTGTGGCAGGGGGAGAGGGGGGGGTACACGTGCGCATGCAGGTGTGCATGGGCAAGCGCGTTTGAGTGGGTGGGTGCATGTGTGTGTGTGTGTGTTTGTGTGTGTGTGTGTGTGTGTGTGTGTGTGTGTGTGTGTTGTGTGTGTGTGTGTGTGTGTGTGTGTGTGTTGTGTGTGTGTGTGGTGTGTGTGTGGGTGTGTTTGTTGGCATGCACGGCGTGTGGGAGGGCAGCAAGCGAGGGCAGCAGCAAGAGAAGCCAGGGGGGGAGGGTGGGCGGTGGGGGTCAGGTGGCAGCAGGTGGGGAGAATGCGGCGGTGAGGACGGCAAGGGGTACTGGGGGAATGGACGCCACGCACTGAAACTGCTTGGGGGGTGTGGATGGATGTGGACGAAGGGGGTGGGTGGGAGAGACGAAAAGGGATGAAAAACACACGGTGCAAGGGAGAAAAGGAGAGGGGAGAGGGGAGAGGAGGAGAAACGGGGGGGGGGGAGGGAGGGGTGTTGAGGGGTGGGCTGTAAGGTGTCAGCACAACCCTTGCAAGGCACCACCACCACCATCATAACACCACCACCAGGTCAACACCACCACCAGCACAATACGACGACACCTTCACCCACCACCACCACCACCACCAGCACCACCCAGCACCACCAGCACCACCAGCACCACCCAGCACCACCAGCACCACCAGCACCACCAGCACCACCAGCACCACCCAGCACCACCAGCACCACCCAGCACCACCAGCACCACCAGCACCACCAGCACCACCCAGCACCACCAGCACCATCCAGCACCACCAGCACCACCAGCACCACCAGCACCACCAGCACCACCAGCATCACCCAGCACCACCGGCACCACCAGCACCACCAGCACCACGCGCACCTTGGTTTGGCTGTATTTGACTCGAACGGCCGGCAGGGAGCTGGACGGCACTGCCACGTGCAGCGCATGCAGTGCCCGCACCGGCTGCTCCAGCTCACACGCCCTGTACCCCGTGTAGTGCTGTAGGGTGGGCGTCTGTGACGGTGGTAGAGGGGAAGAAAAGGGACGAGGGGGGGGAGGGGAGTTAGGAAGATGACTCAGCAGTGCCCGCACTGGCCGCTCCAACTCACGCACGCTGTACCCCGTGTAGTGCTGCAGGGTGGGCGTCTGTCATGGTGGTAGAGGGGAGAAATGGCAGGGGGGGGGGAGCGGAGAGGGTTCGGTAGATGTCTCAGCAGGGGTCGCACCGGCCACTCCTGCTCACATGCGCTGGACGGTGGGCATCTGTGAATGGTGGTAATGGGAGGAAGCGGGGGGGGGGGGGGGTGGGGGGGGTGGGGGGTGGGTGTGGGGGTTGATGGGAGGGAAATGAGGAAAGGAAGGCGAATGCGCAATGAGGAGGCAACGGAGATGGAAGTAGAGAGCAGAGGGAAGAAGTAGATTGAGGAGACGAGCCACAAACAGGCAGCGAGAAGGCGAGGCCGAGAGGAGGGCGAAAGGAGGGGGAGAGGATGGGGAGAGGAGAGCCAAGGTGAAGCACACAGCAGCAGAGGCAGCAGAGGCAGCAGAGCTACGCAGGCAGTCATACCCAGAGGGGTTTGGAGGGGAAGAGGGTGAGCTTGGCCAGGAAGACGGCAGCAGCGGCGACTTGCGACGGCAGGAAGCACAGGCACGCGCAGTCCAGCAAGGTGAGCTCCGCAAAGAAGTTTCCCAGAAACTCCAGATGCAGGGATGGGGCCTGCAGGGGAGAGATGGACCGACAGGGAGAGATGGCCGTTGGTTGAAAAGGTGGATGGAGATGGGAATGAAAAACACACCTACAAGAACAAGATGCGCGGGCAGAGTGGGGGAGAGAGGAGAGGTGGGGAGGAGTGGGGGCGGGGGGGGAGGGGATGCGGAAGAAAGTGATTGGAGCAGAGGAGGAATCTGAGGGGCAGATGATGATGTGCGTGGGGGGTGTCAGGCAGGCACGGTGGTGGAATGAGCAATTACAGGCACACGTACCAAGGGAAGCCAACACCCACCAGGTAGTGAAGGGATAAGAGGGCACAGGAGGGTCGAGGGGTTGGTGGGGGAAAGGGGGGGGAGAGAGAGGAGGGGGAGGAGAGGTGGGGGGCGGGGAGAGAGATGGGGGGCGTGATGGATTGGAAGGGGTACCTGTAGAGTGACTTGTGCCGCTCGAATGAATCTCCTGTGATGGATGCATCATACATGCACATGGGCACACGGGACATGGGCACACGGGACATGGGCACATGGGACATGGGCACACAGGACATGGGCACACGGGACATGGGTGCACAGGACACGATATGGCGTGAGGAAACGAGGATTTAGGACGGTTTGGTGGTGCTGTGAATCTTCTTCCGTTACCTCCCCCTCCCAGCCCACTCGCATCCATCCCCTTACCCCTGTTTCACTCTCCATACCTCCATACCTCCATACCTCCATACCTCCATACCTCCATACCTCCATACCTCCATACCTCCATACCTCCATACCTCCATACCTCCATACCTCCATACCTCCATACCTCCATACCTCCATACCTCCATACCTCCATACCTCCATACCTCCATACCTCCATACCTCCATACCTCCATACCTCCATACCTCCATACCTCCATACCTCCATACCTCCATGCCTCCATGCCTCCATGCCTCCATGCCTCCATGCCTCCATGCCTCCATGCCTCCATGCCTCCATGCCTCCATGCCTCCATGCCTCCATGCCTCCATGCCTCCATGCCTCCATGCCTCCATGCCTCCATGCCTCCATGCCTCCATGCCTCCATGCCTCCATGCCTCCATGCCTCCATGCCTCCATGCCTCCATGCCTCCATGCCTCCATGCCTCCATGCCTCCATGCCTCCATGCCTCCATGCCTCCATGCCTCCATACCTCCATACCTCCATCCCTCCATGCCTCCATGCCTCCATGCCTCCATGCCTCCATGCCTCCATGCCTCCATGCCTCCATGCCTCCATGCCTCCATGCCTCCATGCCTCCATGCCTCCATGCCTCCATGCCTCCATGCCTCCATACCTCCATACCTCCATACCTCCATACCTCCATGCCTCCATGCCTCCATGCCTCCATACCTCCATACCTCCATACCTCCATACCTCCATACCTCCATACCTCCATACCTCCATACCTCCATACCTCCATACCTCCATACCTCCATACCTCCATACCTCCATGCCTCCATGCCTCCATGCCTCCATGCCTCCATGCCTCCATACCTCCATACCTCCATACCTCCATACCTCCATACCTCCATACCTCCATACCTCCATACCTCCATACCTCCATACCTCGATACCTCCATACCTCCATGCCTCCATGCCTCCATGCCTCCATGCCTCCATGCCTCCATGCCTCCATGCCTCCATACCTCCATACCTCCATACCTCCATACTTCCATACCTCCATACCTCCATACCTCCATACCTCCATACCTCCATACCTTCATACCCCCATACATACCTCCATACCTCCAAATCTCCATACCTCCGAAACTGTATAATCCCCCCCCTCGTTCGTTGCACCGCATCCCTCCCTGTGCACGGCATGTCACAGCACAACTCCCACTCTTGCCACGAGAGGAAGCTCTTAGTGGTGGGCATGGCGAGGGCGGGGCTGACCTGCAGCAGCACGCACAGATGATCTTGCTTCTCCCTTGAACCCCACCTCCCCCTCACACCCCACCCCCCCTTGCACCAGTCCTTCCCTCTCATTCACCCCATGTCTCTCCCCTCCCCTTCCCCCCCCCTCCCCTCTTCTTTTGCAGCGCGTGGCACCTGAGGAAGCTCTTGGTGGTGGGCGTGGCGAGGGCGAAGTTGAGTTGCAGCAGCACGCGCCACTCCATCTCGATCACCTGGGGGGCGGGGGAAGGGAGGAAGGGGGGGGAAAGAGAGTGGATGGTTGACGGGGGAAGGGGGGAGGGAGGGGAGGGGGGCGGGGGGGGGGTGGGGGGGGGGGGTAGGAGAAGGGAATGAATCACCCAATCGGAAGTTGAGTTGCAGCAGCACGCGCCACCCCATTTTGATCACCTGGGGGGGGAAGGACAGGGGAAGGGGGGAGACGCGGGTGGAAAGGGTCAGGCGGGAGAGGGAAAAAAGCCGGGGGTTAGGAAAAGGGGTGAACGACCCAATCTGAAGTTGAGTTGCAGCAGCACGCGCCACTCCATTTCGATCACCTGGGGGGAAGAGGAAACGGCGGAGGGGGGGATGGTGAGTGGGGGATGGTGAGAGGGGGGATGGTGAGAGGGGGGATGGTGAGAGGGAAGATGGTGAGAGGGGGGATGGTGAGAGGGGGGATGGTGGTGGGGTGGAGTGGGGAAACGGCCACACACGCTATATCAAGACGAGTTAGTTGAAAATGGTGGTGCAAGCACTTACGCACACACTCCCCCAACCGTCAGGGTTTTGGGTTAGAAGTCTCGGGTTAAGGGTTAAGCGTTTCGGGTTAAGGGTTTAGGGCGCAGCACCTCGTGGCGGCGGTACGTGTTGTCCGTGATGTAGCAGAACTCGTCCACCTGCGGCGCGTAGATCTCCTCGTACTTGCTGAACAAGGGGGAAGAGGGGGGAGAAAGCGGGGGAAGAGGGGGGAGAAAGCGGGGGAAGATGGGGAAGAAAGAGGGGGAGGGGGGGAGAGGGGGAGGGGGAACAGCGATGGGGGACAGGGGAGTGGTGGATTGCACGAATCGGAACAGAGAGCTCTGAATCTGCGTTTGAGTCAGCTCAAAAGCTCTGACACGAAAAGGTGGCTCAGGAAGAAATGGAGGGTGGGGGAAAGAAGAGGCGGAGGAGGAGGAGGAGGTGAGGATGAGGGAGAACGGGGGGAAAGGGAGTCTTGAGATTGGGCGCTCCTCTTTGCAGACCCTCTCTCCTGGTTTAAGCATGATCGCGAATCCTCCAAGCAGCTCATACCATTTGTTGAAGTAAACAAGAAATGTTGACGTTATAACAACCACCATGATTCTAGGATGCACGATTTACGAGGACGATGCTAGATGGCGATGATTTTCAGCCTCTACAAAATCTCCAAGGGTCGAGGTTTAGATAGGTGTTTGGGAATTCTAGAAAACATATCATAGCCAACGGTCGAGGATCAGGAAGCTGGATGGAGCAGTACCACGCAGTACCACACAGTCCCGAACCACGAAACACCTTGAAACCACAAACCGAGCCGGGCCTACAGTGAGTGAGAGAAATACCATACTGCACTAAGAGCAGGTAGTTTACGAGGCGATGAGCATGCAGGTGATGCCCAGGACGTAGGGAGAATCACCGAGGAGAATGGGAAACCAGGTTAAGAGCGGCGAGTGTGCGTGGCTTACGGGGCGAGGGTGGGTAGCCGGGATAACGAGGAGAGGGGGTTTAAGAGCAGTGTACGGCGGGCAGCTGATGAGGCGATGAGCATGGCTTACGAGGAGAGGGGGAGGCGGGTAAAGAGCGGCGAGTGGGGGTGGCTTACGAGGCGATGAGCATGCAGGCGATGCCGAGGAGCTGCAGGTGGTTGCGTGTGACAGTGGTTTTGGAGAGGAAGCGGTCGATGTAGGCGGCGGTGAGGAAGAGCGTGTCGGGCACGAGCTTGTACTCCTCCGCCACCTCCACCAGCCAGTCCATCAGAATGCCGCGCATCCCAGCGCTGATGTCCCCCGAACCCTGGGATCCCTGCCCCGCCCCGCCTGACAACAGCGGCAGTGACAGCTCGTGCCGCCTCTGTCATGGGGGGGAGGGGAGATGGATGAAGGAGGGTTGGGTTGGGTGGGGGGTTTGGGGAGGGGCATACAGCGTAACAAACGAATGCACGAGGACAGGGGAGGCGAAAAGGGCCTACCCCACCCCACCCCTCCCGATTCCACTGCACCACACCGCACCCCACCTCACCTCACCTCACCTCATGTCACCTCACCACTCTGCACCGCTCTGTCCCGCGTCTTACCTCAGCGACCCTGAGGTACGCGTGGATGTCGGCAGCGTAGGGCGCGCAGAGCTGCGGGTCGCTGTGGTTGCTGTCGATGTCGATGGCGACTGGGGGCGGCAGCACAGGGGGCGGTTGCTCCGAGGTGCCAAGGGCGGCAGGGCAGTGCGAGTGGCTGTGCGGCGGCGACGACGCACATGCAGGTGCAGCACGCAGGGAGCATGCAGCCGTCCTCCTTTCCAGGGACTGCAACCACCTGCGCCCACACTCCACTCCTTCCTCCTCCTCCTCCCTCTCCTCCTCTGCCGAGCCATCCCTCCTCTGCTGTGCCGCTCCTTCCTGCGCTGATGAGCCCCCCACCCCCAGTACCCCCCCATTGGGCATGCCAGTCGATTTGTGCGCACAGCCATCCAAGGGCGCGCAGCCTCCCTCTGCCTCCACACCTACACTAAAACCCCCACTCAAACCCCCACTCACACCCCCACTCACAACCCCACACACTACTCCCTCCTCGCCTGCCCTTCTCTCATCCTCACCCCTCTCTGCACCCACTCCCTGAGCCATCTCGTCACCACCCCCGCTCCTCTCGTCGCTCTCCTCCCATCTCGTCTCCTCTTCACACCCCCCCTCCGCCCTTTCTGCCCCTGTCGTACCCCCCTCTTGCCTGTCTGCCCCTCCCGCGCACACACCTTCCACCACCGCACTCTGTCTCAGCATCGCCTCTGCATCGCTCTCACCTGACCGATCCTCTGCACACCCACTCTCCTCCCGGACTACTCTCCTCTCCTCTCCTTCCCTCTCTCCCCCACACTCCCTCTCACTCGGGCATCCCACGTGTCTCCACGTGGCCATCCCAGTGGCAACGCGTCCGTCTCCTTCCCTACTCGCAGCCCCTCCCTCTCTCCCACCGCCCACTCTCTGCTCAGCGCTAGAAGGTCTGCAGCTGCACCCATCCCGCTCACACACCCCATTCCCATCCATACTCCTACCAGTAACACACTGCCTTTCCCCGTGCCCCCTCCCCGCTCCTGCTCCCGCTACCGCCCCTACCCCTGCCCCCACCCCCGCCCCCGTTCCCCTTCCAGCGGCGAGCGCCAGAGGGCTAAGGGCATTTTCGTCCGGAGCTAGCAGGCAGTACTCCAGCCACTGCCGCCCCCCCATTCCTGCTGCTGCTCCCCCTGCACACGCGCCTGCGCCGCCCTCTGATACGCCTGCTCTCGCTGCTACAGCCGAGGCTGCAGCAGCAGGTGAGGCAGGATGCGATGCCCAATGGGGGAGAGGAGGAGGGACCGTATAAGGCGGACAGGCGGGGAGGGGGGAGGGGGAGAGGCGGGAGGAGTGGAGGGTTGAGATGCTTCTGCCGAACACAAAAACATGGCGGGGCGCTGACCCTGCTGCTGCTGCTTCTGGTGCTGGAATAGCTGCTGTTGTTACCTCCACCGCTGCTGCTGCTGCTGCTGCTGCTGCTGCGTCTGCTGCTGCTGCCGCCGGGTGCGCGTGTTGACGTGCTCCGTCGTGTGGCACGGCGCCCCACGACCCCCGCAATGGGAGGGGCGACGGCGGGTCAACCTGCGAGAACGCACAACAGTGGTAACACGAGGTGAGGCGAGATGGAGGCGAGATGGGGGTTGGAGAGGCGCGAGACAGAGTGGGTGGAGTGGAGTAGGACGAGGCACATGCAGAGAGGAAAGAGGGTTTCAGGCCGAGACGATTCCGAAAAAGAGAGAGCGGAAGAGAAGGGAACGGGGTAGGAGGAGAAAAACCACCCACCCGTGCTCTCTTGGCCGAACACCTCATGTGGTCCGCCGCACGCCATGCCTCGTCTCCTCCTCCTCCTCCTCCTCCTCCTCCTCCTCCTCCTCCTCCTCCTCCTCCCCCCTCGATTCCTTCTCGTGCTCCGACGCCCCTCCCAATCGCGATCCCTCCATCTCGATCCCTCCCCTCCCTCTGCATCCCCTTGCGCTCCCCGCCACAGTCATCCGCACCGGCCCCGCCGTCCCCGCTATTGTCACCATCGAGCACAGTCACGTTCGTCAGATCCATTAGTGCGGCTCGCCGCTTGCTCCCACGCTGCCACGTGTCCTTCAGCCCGCAAGACGCGGCCACATCCACGTCTCCAGCACCTCGGCTTTCCCCCCCCAACGCGCCAGGTCTCTCCGCCCACGCCTCCGCGTCCCGGCCGGCTCTCTCCCCCGCGCCCGCGCAACTGCGCGCGCCTGCGGCCGCAGCCGCGCTTCCGCCGCCTGTGCCCGAGCCTGCGCCTGCGGTTTCTTCCGCCGGTACTACCCTGATCGGCCACGAGTCCGCCGCCAAACCGTCCGCCAGTTGCTGGTTGGCGCACGTGCTCCGCACAGTCATAGCGCGGGACAGGACTATAGCAGCCCTACAGCCTGGCAGGCTATAGACGGGAATCTAGGGCGAGTAATACTAGTAATGCCAGTACTACTCCGTAGTTGACTAAGAACGCCCGCGCCGACAGGTCACGCTGACGTCGGCTGCCAACGCTCGAGTTCGCAAGCCCGAAAACCCCGGAATTCCAATAAATAACGTCGCTGTGACCGCAAGGGTAGTGATGGCGCGTTCCGAAAACACGGGACACCCGCTGTTGCGGATCGGCGCACGTCGGATCCAACTCAGGGCCCCAAGGCTCCGACGACGGGCGACGGGCGACGGGCGACGGGAGAAGGGCCTGCGAATTCGCCCCACTTTCGGACGAACGCGGCTTCTCCGATTCTGACTGGAAACCAGCAGCAGATCCTACTAGTAGTATGCCCGTCTACCAATGATCGGACTCGGAGTTGGTCTGGCCAAATGCCGCTCGGCGGTCGCTCCAGCCGACCACTTGGCGCGACGCGGCGCGGAGAACAGCACCTCTTCAGCACGCGACGGCCCTGGATCCTCCGAGTTTCGAGACGTCTGGAAACTAGATTATTATCTCACACAGGGCAGCAGCTCCTCAGTAGGCTCCTCAGTAGGCTACTACTAGTAATGGCCACGCGAGGCGACGGCCCTGGATCCTCCGAGTTGGACTCGACGAGTTGCCTCTGACGAATGAGTACTTCTGAAAAGCGCCATGACTCATGATCACTTGGTCTCTTTCGCGATCTCAGCGGTCGAGATGATGGCTCGCAAGCCTTGCTACGGCATCCGCGCCAGCCAGGCGCGATTCCCGGCCACCGGTTCGGCAAGCCCCCCCCCTCCCTTTCCTGAAATGATGAGTAGTCGAGCGGCCGCTGCTTGCGCGCCTAAGAAGCTGGCTGAAGAGCAACGAGGCGATCTTATATTCCGCAGAATGCCGGATCGCTAGCAAAGCGGAGAGCAGATTCCGTGACGCAGGCGGCGGCCGCGGCGGCGGTGGTGGCGGCGCGCTAATGCCTTGGGTCGCTACTCTAGTAGAGTTTCCTCGGAGAAGGAAGGAACTTGAAGGTGGGTAATGGGGAGTAGATCCATGGCTCTCGGTGCGTATCTGAGGCCGCTAATGGCAGCTAGTTTCTAACGCTGTTGATCAATGCGGCACGAGCATGGATCGCCGGCGGCTGTAGGTTCCCGTGTCGCGCTCTAGAATGCTCGCAATGTGACGTCCGAGATTAGAGCGCGCAACAGCGCCGCCGCGATTCGTCCGTTGGAGAGAGGCTGGCGAGAGGGAATTCCGATGGTTATGGGCGATGGGGCAAATTTAGGATAGGATGGATGTGGGGACTCAGAGAGGAGTGTGATGGGAGGAGTGGCAGGAGGGGAGAGTTAGCTTCGAAGGTTATGGAGCAAGTTCAGTGCTTGCTTCGCGGCTGATGTGCGTGGATTGGAATGGGAGGTGTCGCTGTGTATTGTGGGGTGGAGGAGAGGGGCGCCCGAGCAATAAGGCAGGCGAGTGAGATTGCAAAACCAACGTCGCGTGGATGCTATTAGGAATGCCTACTTCTTTCTGTCCTCGCTCCCACCCATGCATCCCGCCCATCGCGTGGAGGCCAAGGATGGTGCAGTGAAGGGAGGGCAGAGGTGATGCGGCGGAGATAGAATACGAGGGAAATTGATGGTTGCTTGATAGACATTTTCCAGGACGGGTTTCCCTCTTGACAGACCTCCGATATTCTCGCATAAGTGCGCTACTTCAGCCCTGCAATGGCGGACCTAGAATTCTCCTATTTCTAACAACATTGACTCGGAATGTCGTTTATGTGCCCGAGTCTAGAATGGCACGCTATCAAGTTCAGAATTCCTGAACTTGTTTTCGTGCAGTAGAGGTAACCTAGTTTAGGGGACCATCAAGGTCGCAACCCTCTGGTAAATGGGGCTGTTTGCGAAACTTGCTAGAAACTATTAAACCACGAACGCATGTTCACTCATACTGAACATGAAAACTACTGAACATGAAAACGCCCGCAACCATTCTGAACACATTTTTTTGGGAGACTCGAAACTAGAGACCCTCACAGGACTATTCGTCACTGTTTGCGCACTGGTTTTCGCCAGAGGTGCTTTGCCGAAATTTTCTTCGCTCGATTTTTTTGGCACTGTTTTCATGGTCAGGAAAGTTGGTTTTTTACCATTCTTGACTCGGGCTCTAACAAGACGCCACATGGGGTTTACTCACGAAAACCTCACATTTGAAGGGGATCTCTTCCCCACCACCCTCCTGAAATGTCTGGCATCCTACTGACTAGGTAGGAACGGCACGAACGGCAATGGTCTGGTTGAGGCTGATTGCCTTGCCACCTCAACACGCGGAGTGAACTGTAGCATGCGAGTGATGGGGAGAAAGGGTGGCCGGCCTTAGGCGTGTCCCTCCCTAGATTCTTATTTTATCATTCTGAGACAAATTACACCTCACCCAACCGCAATGAAACGACTGCTGCAGTCGCAAAAGGTCTCAGGATCCACGTCACGAACAACTGGTTGCGTCCTTGCGAACGAATTGATGGATCCAAACAGCGTGTGCAGAGCTGCGACAATACAAGCGACTCCTTTTCTCCGTGCGGCGATTGTTTATGCTGTTCTCGGTTGGTTTATGCTGCATGGCATTGTCATCACATCACCATCCACACTACAGATGGTAGGCAGTCAGCAGCAGCTGTGCAGGACTTCGGTTCGGGGACTTGCGCTCGCAACATACGACACGAGGCACACAGTTCGTTCACTCGCTGGTGCTTGTTTGCGAATTGATGAGTCATCACCCGACCGCCAATGGGATGCATGACAGAAAGACACACAAGCTACATCATATCGGTGATTGGGTTTGGCCGGAGGACATTTCGCAGACCAAGCATGCCAAAGGCGATGGCATGATGTACAACACAGGTCTCGTTTGTGCGGTGTGGTGCGAGCCGCCTCGAGATTTGCACTGCAGCATGTGAGTGTAGGGCCGCAGGTTCGATGTGTGTGGCGTGGTGTGGAGGTCCGTTTGCCCCTGGCGTGGAGGTCCGGCGTGGAGGTGGCGTCCACGCCTGCCCTTCGGGCAGGCCAAAACTAAAACCCATTGGAGCCTGCATGCATGCGCTCGGGGATGGCATCAAACCTAAACACGGGGCCCGGCCACGAGTCTAGGGTTGATGCCATCCCCCCCCCGCATGCCGGGCAGCCCTGGGGTTTAGTTTTTTCTGCCCGCAGGAACTGAGCCGTGCGCCCCTTACCCCCTGCCATCGCGCCCGAGCGTACCTATATACCCCCTGAGGTTCGGCACGGCATTCATCCAGCAAAGCAGCCACTTGCCACAGAACGGAGCCACATGCAGTTCTGAACCTAGAGGTTTGGTGGGGCCCTTCTGGTTTGTAACTTTCCCCGAGTCTGTTGCTCAGCAGATTCTGATTCGCTGCAACTGCTTCTGCTGCAATTTATTTTTCCAACTGACGGGTGGAAATATAACTGCGCAACCTCACCAGGCCTTCGTATAAATGTCATAAAATCGAAGGCTTTCTGATGTTGCTTACTGATGTTATGCCCGTACGAAAGCGAGAATCGAGCGTTTCAATATCGAGCAGGAGAGTGTGCACAGCGTCTTGTTAGATAACCGTTAGAAGCATACTCGACGAAAGTGCAAAGTCGTGGCCATGTCGTATAACAGGCTATGGGGCACGACGACAGGAAAGCAGTGGAACACTTGACATGCACTGAGGGCGTGTCCCCAAAAACCGTTAACCTATTTTTTAACAGCAGAGCCGTTTGACGGTACGCAATGTGAATCGATTTTGAAACAGATCCCGATTCGGGAACAGATCCGAAATGAAGGGTGCAGTTCTGAAGGACAGCACCGAGACCAGCACAGACATAGGAGCGGGTACGGGGTCCCGCCATGCAAAACCAGCGCAGTGCGCGTGTAACAAAATGAGGGCCAACCGGCGCAGCGGGGGTAGGTTCTTCGCTAGCGACGTGCGAGGCTGGAAAGTGTCGCTAGAGAATTTCGCTAGAGGTGGTACTGGTACTGGTTGGCAAACTGGACTTCTGTGTGGTCGTTTCTGTCGTGCGGAGGTACCTGGAAACGCGCGCTAGTGTCCGCTAATTTCGGGTGTGAGCTGGGCGTGTCTTAATCGGGCATGTTTTATGGCAACAAACCTAAAATTGGTAACTGAACCCGGTGTTGAACAAGGCACGTACTTAGTGACACGCCCTAAGCTATGAACTGTCTCCAAGGTTGTCGTACCTGTAGAAGTGAATAGCCTTCTGCCGCGTCTCCACGTCTTCCAACCGTGTTTAGCCTCATTGAACCGCCTGCCATTGCTACTTACACCAATGGCTTCCACTTCGGACGATCGGACGCTCCTTAGCGGCACGACCATTTGTGTCACAGGAGTTCCGAAAGGTACGTGAAAGACTATCGAGTTGGAGATACGTTACGGTCGCCTCAGGTTCGGAAGAGGAGTACGGATTCCTTAAAAACCGTGTAGTGTGTTCTCTTGGTTTCAGTGAGTGGCGGTTCGCGGTGGTGATTCTATTCACCGTCTCCTCTCCTGTGTTGTCCTTCCCTCACTCGTCCCACTCCCCACATGCGCTTGCATTCTGGCTGACTGCTGAGTCAATCCCAACGCGGCAACGCCTTCCCATGATTCCCTCCCTTTTCTTGCGTCCTCTTACCTTCCCTCTCTGCCTGCTCCCCTCGGCCTGCTCTGCATGCTGCTGCCTGCATCTCCCTCTCCCCTCTGTCCTCTGCCCTACCATCCGCACTTGCCCCCACACTCCTCCTCCTTTCCCCCACTCGACCTCACCACTCTCTCTCCCCCCCTCCGCTGCCCCCTGCATCCCCCCCTCCCTCTCTCTCCCCCCTCTTTCCCTTTACTTTCCACTCCCCCCCATCAACCTCTTGCACGCACACTCTTTCCTGCATTTTCTCATTCAACCCCATCACCACCACCAATCACCTTCCAATCACCCTCCAATATCCTCCCATCACCCTCCCATCACTCTCCCATCACCCTCCCATCACTCTCCCATCACCCTCCCATCACTCTCCCATCACCCTCCCATGTGTCCTCCCCCGTCCCCTTCCCCCTGCATTGGACCGCGCGCTGATGGCGGGGCTCACAGGCTGCGTGCTAGTAAGCTCTTTCAGAGACGTCTCAGAAAGAAGTCGCTATCACGTGGCTCATACGGCCGCTGGCGAGCCAGTACAGCCCCCCAACCTCACACCGCACTGCTTGCGCTTCCTCGTGACTTTCCTGTCGACTCAACAACCACTCACTCCCCACACCCGCCTTCTCCCCTCTTCCCCCCCCTTCCCTCCCCCCGTTCCCCCCTGCAGTGTACCGCGCGCTGGTGGCGGAGCTGATCAAGCTGCTGGGGGGGCGGTACAGCCCCGACCTCACACCGCACTGCTCGCACCTCCTTGTCGCAATATCCCCCTCAGACTCCCATCCATCCCACCCAACCCAACCCAACCCCCACGTGGGGATGTTGCAACGCAATCCCCATGCGCAACCCCCCCCCCCCCCGCCATTACCTCTCGTCCATCTTCGGGGTGTGCTGCCATTTGCGCCTGTTGGGCGGGCTTTGTCCATTGTGCTTTGGGCATTGGCTTTGGGCGTTGGGGTATGGGATTCTGGCTGTCTTTCTGTCCGAAAGGCAGCCGCTTCCACTTCTCGCAATGCCACGTCCTTAACTCGCAACCTGCGTGTGCTCGACCCACTTCCCTTCTTTCCCCCTCCCCGCCACTGCCTCTCCCTCCCTCTCCTTCCTTTCCCTCCCTCCCCACTCTCGTCTCCCTCCCCTCTCCTCTCTCTCTTCCCCTCGCTCTTCCCCTCTCCCCCCGTCCGTCCCCCCACCACGCGCCCTCGGGTCCCAAAGTGGCTTATGCGCTCGCCCACGCCTCCCACCTGCCTCTCCGCCTCGTCTCCCTGCCCTGGCTCTCTGCCTCCATCGCTGCTGGAGGTACGCACATTCGGGAAGGGGGGAGAGGGGGGTGGAGGAGGGGGGGGGAAAGGGGGGGGAGGGGAAGGGGGGAAGGGGGAAAAGGGGAAAGGGGGGAAGAGAGGGGGGGGGGAGGGGGATCGTTTTGGGACGTCTCAAGAGCCTTTGCTTTCGGCCACGCCTCCCACCTGCCCCTCCGCCTCGTTTCCCTGCCCTGGCTGTCCGCCTCCATCGCAACAGGAGGTGATGGGACGGGGGTGCACGGAATAGGGGTACGAGATGTGGGGAGGGTGTTGGGGCAAGAGAGAAGAGGGAGGAGAGAGAGGAGGGGGGAGAGAGGCGATGAGAGGATAAGCGAGGGGAGAAGGATAAGGGAGGAGGAGCGGGTTGGGGAGGGAGGACCGTACATTTTCTCCACTCCTCCAACTGGACTCTTTTTTTGTCGACTCAAAATACACCCTCACTCACTCCCACTCACAAGTCCGTTGAATGCGTACCCTCCCTCTCCCCTCCCCCCCCTTCCCCCCTCCCCCTCCCCCTTCGCCTCTCCACCCTCCCCCGCCTCTCCCCTACGTCCTCCAACTCTCGTCCTTTCCCCAGTGCGCCTGCCAGAGCACATTTTCTTTCCCTGCTTCCAGCAGCTTCACTCACTGGCGGCGGCGGCCCGGGGGGGAAGGGGGGGAAGAGTGGTTGGAAGCGGGGAGGGAGAGGAGCGCCGAGGAGGAGGGGGTCAGGGTTCAGGTTTGTTGGGGAGCCACCAATCGCAGAAGCTTTGGATGGGGCGGAATGGGGAGGCAGAGGAGGGGGAGGAGAGGGAGGAAGAAGAGGAAGTGGTGGAGGCAGAGATAAGAGAGAGGGATTGGGTGGGAGTGATACGAAGAGGGGGAGGAGCAGGAGCAGAGTGTGAGAAAGGGAGTGAGACAACGAATCACGGAGACGGGTGCAGTTTCATGGTGGAAGAAAGAGTGGAGCATGGAAGAGCACGAAACCAGCATGCAGTGGGACATGCCCTGGCGTCAGTAGCAGCACCAGCATCGTGCTATAGCGGTTCAGAGGGGGGTGTGGTGCATGCAGCACGTGGTGCCACAACAACAACGGCACGTGAGGCAGAAGCGGGCAGGGCTGCTGCTGCACGAGCACCGGTTGGGAACTTACCATGTTCTGCAGCAGCACCTCACAGCAGAGACAGAGACTGTACCGCAGAAGAACGTGCCCGTACAAGCCACAACGATACACGTGTTACAGCAGCGAACGTCTCGGCCTTAAGAGCTGTCCATTCAAGGAAACAAAGGCTGGAGCTTGAAGCCACCGGAGCTGCATCTGCCTCGGATCCATGCAATCGCCGCATAGCCGAAGAGGGGCACAAGGCTCGGAAAAATCCGGTTCAGGAGCGAGGTTCACAGGCTCGGCAGAGGGTTGGATCCTCGCAGGAGCCTGAAGAGGCGGAGGTGCCTTTCGACGAAGCAGACAGCCAGGTCCGAAGCGAGTGGCTTGGGAGCTGCTCTGAGCCACCAGGAGCAGGTTCGGAGGGCCGTGAGTGTGTGAGCAAGAGGCAGGATGAGGTTGATGAGTTTGGGGGGGCGGTGGGCTGTGCTGCGGAGGTGGCTGAAGAGACGGAGAGTGCGAGGGGAGAGGGTTACTGTGGTGCTGGTGTGAGGGAAGGTGAGTGGTCAGGTGCATGGGAAGAAGCGGGAGAGGTGCCAGACGTGACAGTATTGGGTGACGTGGCACGATTGGGTGACGTGGCAGTAGCGGTGACAGGCTTCATGAAGCAAGCAGCCTGTGCTGTTCCTGTGCCTTGCTTGCCTGGTGAAGTACCTAAGACCAGCGCTCGCTCTAATGAGACCGACGATGCCGATTCTGCAAATGCAGATGGTACCCGTGATGGCCATCACGCCCATGAAACCCGGGGTACCCGTGACGGGCATGCTAGCCGTGATGCTGCTGCTGCCGATGCGCATGCCAGTATCAAGAGCCTTGATCTAATTCATAACTCATCCCATCTGTCCTCACAGCACTCTCCAGCACCACCCGCACCGCCTCATGCCACTGCATCATGCGTCACCCCCCTCACTCACTCCCCTCCTCCTCCTTCCCCTCCTCCTTCCCCTCCTCCTTCCCCTCCTCCTTCCCCTCCTCCTTCCCCTCCTCCTTCCCCTCCTCCTTCCCCTCCTCCTCAACCCTCCGAGCCTCATCCTCTGGAGCTGCTCCCTGCCGAACCTCAGCCCTCCGTGCCTCAGGATCTGGTTCGGCAGCGAGGCAAAGCAGAGTCATGCAGGGTTTGGGAGTGTTCACTGCCAGAGGCATGGTGGGAGAGCAGCAACACCCACGAGCACTGCTGCTGCAGCAGAGGTTGCTCCTGCTCCTGCCCCTGCTCCAGCTGTAGGTTAGATGCAAGGGCGGATTGCAGTAGCATATGCATTGGGGAGCACAGCAGTACCAGCAGCACTCTCGGCGGCAGCAGTGGCGGTGGCAACAGCAGCAGCAGCAGCAGCAGCAGCATGGGTAATGAGAGCGGCAGCAGTGGCGGCGGCGTGCAGCAGTGTTGGGTGTGGGGGTGTGTGAGATGGGAGAGGCGTGTGGAAGCAATGGCTCGAGCCAAGGGGCTCGTGAGGGCGAGGAGGGGAGGAAGGCGGCAGGTGTGTGATGCTCAGAGTGGTTGGTTGGTTGGCACTCGCTTGAAATTCAGAACACATGCATTGCTCGCACGCACACAGCATTGGAGTGCATATGGCATGGCACAAGCGACAAACCAGGTGCACTCAACATGCAAGAATCTATTTTCTGGCACACCATGCCCACCATGCAGGACACACAGAAATGCGCATGTGACAAAAGTCCAGTTGTATTTTGAGTCGACTCAAAATACAAAAGTCCAGTTTTCTTTCTCGCCTGCCCCTCTCTAATCCTCCAGCCGGCCAGCTCGTTACCTCGCCCCCCAGCCCCCCCGGTCCTCCTCGACACTCTGGCTTGGAGCGTGTCCGAGCCTCCCGCTGAGGCTCGGATGCTCGGGGTTCTGGTGTCAGGAGGTGTGGAAGAAGCTGGGAAGGGGAGAGGTGATGGTGGCGTGGTTGCTGCTGTTTCTTCTGGTGTTGCTGCTGCTGGTGCTGGTGGTGACTGTGCTTCAGTGGGGCCCAGGCTGCATGAGAGGTGTGCTTCCCTTCTTGCTGCGTCCATTCTAACGAGGTGACTTTTGAGTCGACTCAAAAGTCGCTTCCCTTCTTGCTGCGTCCATTCTCTTCCTCCTCTCCTCTGCTCGTGCTGCTCCTCCTTTACCTGTATCCCTTTATTTCCTCTTCTCCCCTGCCTGTGCTGTGCCCCCTCGTTCCCTCTTCTTCCCTTCCCTTCAGCTCAAGTCGGAGGAAAACACCCTTCGCCCCTTGTCAAAACACTCCCTTGGCAAGCCCCTTGCATTCCAACCTTCTTCCCCACCTCGCCTCCCCCATTTGCCCCCCTCGCAGCCAACTCTCTCTGGTCGTCTACCCGCACCCATTCCTCACACTCCTCTTCCCTCTCGACGTGTACTCTGAGCTCGGCCCCTCCTCGCGCTCCTACTCCTCCCCCGCTGGCTTCTCCACCCGCCGCCTCCTCTCCCTCGTCTATGCCTTTTACCAGGTGCGTCTGCTGTGGGGCATGTGGTGGGGCATATGGTGGGCCATGTGGTGGGGCATATGGTGGGGTATTGATTGGGTACGTGATTGGGTACGTGATTGGGTACGTGATTGGGTACGTGATTGGGTACGTGATTGGGTATGTGATTGGGTACGTGATTGGGTACGTGATTGGGTACGTGATTGGGTACGTGATTGGGTACGTGATTGGGTACGTGATTGGGTATGTGGTGGGGCATGCGATGGGGCGTTTGGTGGGGCATGTGGTGGGAATGCCAACACATCAACCCCCTTAGAAAAATTCCACATCTTCGTTCCCAATCACGCCCCTCTCCTCTCCCATGCCTGCTGCACCCTGCACCCTGTCTGCTGCTCCTGCAGGAGCCCTTGAGCAACCATCAGGTGTCCCTCCGCAAGCTTCTTTTTAGGCGCCTCAAGAATTGCCTGCTACTGCACCCTGCACTTTGTCCGCTGTCCCTGCAGGAACCGTTGAGCAACCACGAGGTGTCCCTCTGCGTCCTCTCTGACTCTCGCCACGCGGACGCACTGCGCTCCTCCCTCGCTGCCTGCCCGCCCCCACCTGTCACTCCCGCTGCTGCTGCTGTTGCTGCTGCTCCTGCTGCTGATGCTGCTGCTGCTGCTGGCGTTCGTCCTCCTGCTGCTGCTTCAGCAGCAGCAACGGCGCCTGCTGCTGCTTCAGCCGCGGCAACGGCGCCTGCAGCTGCCGCCTTAATTTCTGCAACCGTTGTCGCTGCTTCCACCCCGGTTCCTTGCCCTGCTGCACGGCAACTGCAACGGCAACTGCAAGGTCCTGCCTTCTGGTCTCCCCCTCTGCGAGTGACCTTTCTGGGCTCCAGGCTGCACTTTGAAGGACTCAAACGGGTTTCCAGAGATGGCTCCGGGCAGGTTTATGAGGTCTGCTTGGGCAGGTGAACGGGCAGGTGGGTAGGATTCAGGGAGAAGAATGTTGCGTGTGACACGTTCTTGTGTGTTTCACTTCCGCATTTCTATCTGGTGCCGTACCAGCTTGTTGCACGTCTTCGCTGTTGTTTGTGTGCTTGTACTGTACATGCCGGTGGTTTCACTCTCATGTCATGACCCTCAATGTGAACGTAGCATACGTATGTACTAAGCTCAGGTTGAGGTTGCCACGAAAGCCTTCTTTGTAGTAACAGATTATCCAAGTTGCCAGTACAGTACGCGTAATAGGGCATGGCAAGAAATCACCCTGCAAATTTTCTATCAATATTGTGCGGTGCAGTGTTTTTGGTAGGATAGGGTGGATAGATACTCCATGTTCATCATCGCAACATGAAAAGCCAGCCGTGCTGACAATCCCCCTCCCTCACCCCACCATCACCACCACAACCTCACCCACCCACCCCCATTCCCCCCTCATAACCACAAGCTAATATAGTACCAGCGATCTGGAGCAACCACTGAAGCTCATCCGCTCCTCAGCTCCTCCCACTCCTCCCACTCCTCCCACTCCTCCCACTCCTCCCACTCCTCCCACTCCTCCCACTCCTCCCACTCCTCCCACTCCTCCCACTCCTCCCACTCCTCCCACTCCTCCCACTCCTCCCACTCCTCCCACTCCTCCCACTCCTCCCACTCCTCCCACCTCTCCACACATCCATCTTCTTCCCTCCTAACTACATGCTATTGCTCCCACCTCTGCCCCTCCCACTGCTCCTCCTCAAGCCGTTCCTCACCCCGCTTCTCCTGCTGCCCCTTCTGCTCCTCCCCCTCCTGCCCTGCATCCCCGTCCGCCTTTCCCTCCTCCTCTTCCCCGTGTTGCACCGTACACCACTCCCTTGTTCCCCTGCTCCCTTGGACATCTTCCTCATCCTGCCCGTACAACTCCTTCAGCATCCCCTGCTTTGTTACCACTCCTCCTCGCCCATTCCCATCCTCATCCTCTCCCTCTTCCCCACCCCTATCCTCATCCTCTCCCCACTGCTCCATCTCACGTCCCATCTGTTGCACCCGCCCAGTCCTCTGCTGACGCTCTACCACCACTCGTGCTGCGATCACCTCTCCCTGCCTCCTCGCCGGGCTGCCTCTTTCCAGCAGCACAGGCAGCGGCCAGTGCGTTGCCATAAACTCCAAGTCTGCCCCCGCTCCCTCCACCTTTCTCCCTCTCTCCGCCCTATCCCCTCCTCTCCCCACCACCCCTCCTCTCTCCCGCACCTCCCTCCCCCCCACCTCAACCCTGTCAAGAGTGCGGGTGGGTGCAGAGCGGTGCTTGGACAGCGACCTCCCCCCCCGTGCCACAACCATTCTCCTAGCACGTGCATCACCATCCCCCCCTCGGGTATCCCTCCCTCCTCCTCTCCTCCTCACGGCACGTGAGCTTTGGTAACTCGAGCCAGGAGGCGGGGTAAGCGAGGGTGCAGCAGCAGCAGACGCGCCGTGAGAACGAGACGGGGAAGGGGAGTCAAAACCATCAGAGGAAAAACCGTCACTGCTGTCCTCCTCCCTCCCATAAGCACCCTCGCCATTGTCACTCCCACTGTCACTATCGCTGTCAATCCTCCCCTCGCTAACCCTGCGTAGGTCCCTGGTCCTGTTGCCACCCGCTCTCCTTCCCCCGCCAATGTTGCATGCTCTCCATGTGCTGCTATCTGTCATGCCCCCTGCATAGGTAGAAGCAGTGGAGGGGCGGCGGGAGGAGGGCGCAAAAGCACCACCCACGGAGCGAGAGGAAGGGAACGATGCTATCGGCGGGCGGGACAACGGAAATGGAGAAGCACCAGCAGCGGGAGCAGCGGGAGCAGCAGCGGGAGCAGCAGTGGCGACAGCAGCAGTGGGGTGAGACAATGAAGGAGAGGTGGCGCCAGTGGCAGGGGAAGCAAGAGCCTGTGCTGCCATGCGACTGCCAAGCAGGCGACGAGCAGCGGTAGGCTCGAGAGCAGACGAGGTGGAGGAGGCCGCAAAGGCGGTAGAAGGGGAGGTGCGGGTTGCTGTCGATGGAGGGCTGATTGCAGTGCTGCTGGGAGTATCAGGGTTGGTGGCACAAGCAGCAGGAGGCGAGGATGCAGAAGCAGCAACGGAGGGGGGCAGAGGAGGGTGCAGGTGAGGGGGATGGTGGGGTGGGATGTGAGGGTGGTGTGAGGACAGAGGAAGAGAACGGCCGTCCATGTGTCCTGGCCCCCCCTCTCCCCCTCGTCCAAAGCTCCTTTCATGCGTCCTTTCCCTTCCTCTTGCAGCAGCAGCAGCAGTGCCCGCGCCTCGGCCCATCATGGCCGTCCGTCTGTCCAAGCTGAGCACCTTCACAAACATGGCAGAGGACGGTGCGTCCGCCCACGCCTCCTGGGATCTCTCCCTCTGCTGCTGCCCCTGCTGATACTGCCCCTGCTGGTACTGCCCCCCAGCAGCAGCAGCAGCAGCAACAGCAGCAGCAGCAGCGGCGGCATCTTTGCCCTTCAACGCCAGTCGCCTCTCCAGACTCATGACTTTGACAAACATGGCAGAGGAAGAGGGAGCAGCCCACACTTCCTCCTCCTGCTGCTGCTGCTGCTGCTGCTGCTGCTGCTGCCCCTGCCCCTGCCCCTGCCCCTGCCCCTCCCCTCCACCACTCTCCCCCTGCACTGCATTTTTCGGCTGCTGCTGATCCTGCTGCCTCTCCCCTCGCCCTTGCTGCTGCTGCTTCTGCTGATAACGTGCGGTATTCACCCCCCCCACCTCATCCCCAGCACCCTTCACAGACGGACCCACAGGAGCACTCCCACTCCCACGCTCACCCACGGATTCACGCCTACCTCCTAACCGGGGATCGGCCTGTTCCATGGCCCTGAGGAGCTGCTCAGAAAAGGCAGTATCAGCGGACAGCCGCCTCCCTAAGGATAGAGGATAGGCGGCGGACGCACCACTGCCACCGCTGCCGCTGCTGCTGCTGGCGTTGGTGCTGGTGATGTGGAGCCCATTGGCAGCAGCAGAGGAAGCAGGGGCGGCAGTGCTGCTTGCATGTGCTGCTGCTGCTGCTGCTGCTGCTGCTAGTGCTGTTGCTGGCGGTGGTGGTTTTGGGGGCGAGCAGGGCCGGGAGGATGGGCGGGAGGAAGGCCGGGAGGAGGCGCGGGAGGGAGGGCGGGAGGAGGAGGAGCGGCACGCAGCAAGCAGCGTGGCAAGAGACGGTTTCCCCCCTGCTTCTCCTGCTCCCGCCGCCGCACTCTTACCTCTCTCACTCCCGAACCCGGGCTTGAGAGTCCGGGACCCCGTGGTTCGCTCACTGGTTGCAGGCCTCTCTGCCTTGGGCACTTTCCTCCTGCCGCTGCTCGTGCCTCTTGCTCCCTCGTGCTCATGCTCTTGATCATGCTCATGCTTCTGCTTATGCTCGTGCTTATGCTCGTGCTTCTGCTTGTGCTTATGCTCGGTCCTATCCTTATGCTTGAGCTCGTGCTCATTCCCTGCTGCTTCTCGCCTCTGCTCCTTCGCCTTCCTCTCCCTCCGTCTCCCCTCCCCGTCCGCCCCCCCCTCCTCTGCCTTCCTGTGCCTTGCTTCCCCACCTCGCTTCTCCCCCACCCGCTTCTTCCTCCGCTTCTGTATATCCACTCCACCTTCACACACCTGCTCTTTTCCCTTTCTCCAGCCCACGTCCCCCTCACCTGCCCCCTCAACCGCCTCCCTCTCGTCTGCCGATACAGCCCGGTGCCTGCCCCAATGCTTGTTCTTCACCTTACATCCCTCCTTGGGCACCTGCTTCTCGTGCCGTGCCTCCCCTTCCTTCCTGCGTTGGAAATTCAAGTCCCCATCATTCTCCCCACCCTCAAGTGGCGCTTTAGCCAATTCCAATACCTCCTTCCCCCCCTCACATCCTCCTCCCCCGCTCGCTATCCCCCTAGCTCTCCCAGTTTCCTCACTCTTCCCTTGACCCCCATCAACTTCTCCCCCTGCTCCTCCTGCCTCTCCCTCTGCCTCTCCCTCTGCGTCTCCTCCCTCTCCTCCCTCCCCCTTCTCTTCCTCGCTCTCCTCCTCACTTCCATCCTCGCTCCCTTCCTCCTTTCCTTGTTCCCTCCCCTTCTGATCCAACACCACCTCCCCTCCCTCCTCCCCTTCCTCACCCTCCTCTCCCCCTTCACTCTCCGCTCCCTCCTCTCCCTCCTCTCCCTCCTCTCTCTCCCCCTCCTCCTCCACTTCGTCCTCTTCCTCCCCTGGCTCCTCCCCCTCCTTCTCCTCCTCATCCCCCTCATCCTCCTCCTCCTCCTCGTCCTCCACGTGTTCCCCCACCAGAGCAGCAGCCCAGTCGCCCCCTTGGTCACCTCCCACGCCGCCTTCCCAATCACCTCCGTTGGCTTCCGCACCTCCCAAGCCACCACCTCCCAAGCCACCACCTCCCAAGCCACCACCTCCCAAGCCACCACCTCCCAAGCCTTCTCCTCTCACCCTTCCCATTCCTCTCTCCTCCTCGTCCTCGGCACTTGATACTGCAGCCGCGGCCCCTACCAAGGCAACTGCTGCAGTGACTGCTGTTGGTGACAGGGACTTCGATTCTGCTGCTGCTGACACAGCTGCTTGTGTTGATACAGCTTCTTCTGCCGATGCTGCTTCAACTTCTGCTGCTGACGCTGCTTCAGCTGACGAGATTGCTGCTGCTCCTGCTGACACAAGTTCTGCCGCTGTTACTGCTTCTGCTGGCAAAACCGCTGCTCCTGCTGATGGCACACCTGCTTCCGCTACTGCTGCTTCGTCTAACAACGCACCACTCTCTCCCACACCACCCTTCTCTCGCTCTCGATCCTCCTCACCCCCACCACCCCCACCACCAGCACGAGCAGGAGCAGCCTCACCCCCACTGTCTGCTCCTCTCTCAAGGCCCTTGCTTCCGCCGTGTGCACCATCCCACCCTCCATCCCTGCTCTCCACTTCCTTCGCTTCCGCCACTTCTTCCCCTCTATGCGCGCACCTCGTACCGTCCTCCTCCCCGTCCGCACCAGCCTTACCCGGCCTCTCGTCTCCTAGCTGCGGCCGCATCTCCCCACGCTCTCTGCTGCTCACACCGCTCCCCCCCTCCACTACCACCTCATCACTACCGCCCTGCTGACCACACTCGTTCTGGCTAACCTGCTCACTCTGCTTAACGCACTCATTCTGGTTACCGCTGCTGCAGCGTTCACAAGCAGGCGCATGTGCACAAGGGTGTGAGCACATACCCGAAACCGCGCTCTTGCAAGCGTAATTAGGGAGAGGAGAGGGTGTGGAGGTAGGGCTGGGGCTAGGGGCGAGACGGGGACTACCGAATCCCGTGCTGCTACTAACCCCCGTGGTACTGCTGCTGCTCGTGCCTCTCTTCCCCTCGCCCGCGCTGCAACTCCCGTTCGCCGTGTCCTCCTTAATAGCGGCCTCGAATTCGTTACTATCGCCAAACAAGCTGCTGCTGCTACGCCTGCTATGCCGCCGACCGCGGCTGCTGCCGAGATTGCTGCGAACAGAACCCTCCTGTGGGCTTGCTCCCCCCTGCTCCCCCTTCCCTGAACCCTTACTGAAGCTTTGGTACACGTCCTTAAGCTGGGCCTTCGCCTTAGAGCCTCCTAGAGATAGCACCCTGCTCAGCGTCCGAGGTGCTACTAACGAGGTGCCCCACCTGCCAGACCTGCCGGCGCTGCCAGCCTCGTTAAAATCACACGCGGATTCGTCGCCTTTTCTTAGACGCGCACTGATTGGACTGTCGCTGTTCCGCCTACCGCTAGCGTCAGGGCTTTCAGCGGTGCAGACTGGTGAGGATAGGTTGCAGGGAGTATCCAGGTCCTCCTCTCCCCCGCGCTTGCTCGCGTGCTGTTCCTTCGCCTCTTCAGCTTCCCCTTCCCTCTCTTTCCCCTCTGCCTCATTTCTTCCTTCCTCCTCCCTCCCACCCCCCTTCTCCTTCTCCTTCTCCTCCTCCTGATCCTCCTCCTCGCCCTCGTCCTCCCCATGCACATGAGAGGGAACCAGACCGCATAGAAGCAGCTTCGCGGAATGAGACGAGAACCCTCCCCGCGGTACCCTCCGCGAGCTCCCCCTCGCTTCGCGCACGCCACCCTTCCGCGCACTGCGCACCGGTTCCGCCCCTCCTCCAGCCAAGCCCGCAACGCTATCTACAGCTCTGTCCCCGTTATAGCTGCTCCCGTTACCGTTGTGAGGGCTTCCGTCCCCCTGTGCGCTTCTGCTGTGTGTGCTACCGCTGTTACTCCCCCCATCCCCCGCCCTGCCTCCGCCTCCGCCGAAACATCCGATCGCCACTCCGCCGCTGCCTTCGCTATTGTCACTACTGTTTAAGCTGGCAGCGCTTCCGTGCCGCGCAAACGAGGAATCCGAGCTCATGCTGCTTTGCTGCTACTGGAGCTGATGGCTTGCGAAACGGAAATATAGGGTAAGCGAGCAACACAGCTACGATATCACGATAAATGAGTGTACCTCGGTTGCCGAGGGCAGATGCACAAGCGCAAGAGAAATGGGAACGTACACCCGTGTACGTTACTAACGCGTCTTGCGGCGCCAACAGTGGAGTGAAGCAGTGGAGCAAATCTCGAGGTCCCGTTATGTTGCAGCATAGCCCTGAATAAATGCTACCTGCGGTTATGGTTGTACCATGCTGCCTGCCTATTTCTTCTCGAGATTCCCGTTGTTGGTTGGTTGGAGGAAAAACGCGCTGTTGGGATACTCAGTGCTTCGTTTAGATACCGTAATCTCAGCCACCCTATCACGTTTCACCATCATACAGTTTGTGTTTATGAACGAGGATAGTACTCGCTGGGGTTTAGTGTTTTGAACTAACGAGCATAAACTTGCAGTGCACTGGGCAGCATGGTTTATCCAGGGTACCTGCCCGAATTCGTGGCATCATGCTCTGCTGACCAATCGATTATCAGCGGTCCAATAAAACTCGCTTCCCCTTGATCAAGTGGCATCCTTTCGGCCAAACAAAACGAAACCCGACCAGCATTCATTGTACAGTTCAACAGCGAGCAACAGCTTTGTCAGTCCATGCGGGTAGAACTGCCCACTCATTTTTCGTAGACCACGCAAATCATTTTCCGGGCAGGAGTGCACACCAAAGATGGGCATTCCCGGAACGGGGCAATTCTAAGTTTCTTCTCGTGCCCCACTCGTGTGTCTCTGAAGTTTATCCCCACAGTTTTCGAGGGTTGATTTCGATTGTGCTGTCCGACTGGGGCTGTCTGTTCCGCCCTCACCCCCTCCGGGGCCTTCACTCGCTTCATGTCACCACCACACCACCACCATCTCCTGCTTCACTCTTGTTCTGCGCATCCGCTCTATCGCCACCTCACTTCGCTCCTGCAGGTGCGAGAGAGAGAGAGAGCGATGGGATTCAACTGTCGATGCCACACCTCCAATAATCAGCTCGCGCGACCACCAAGAAGCAAGCATGCACAGGCGGTTGATCATTTAGCGGATAAGCCAGATGTTCTCCAGCATTATCCAGACCCACTGAGGCTAGGCACACTTCGTGTTCCCTCTGCCGCCTTGTTCGAACCACGTTCAAGAGAAGCACGAGTCCGTGGCTTGGCTCCGTTCCGAGCCGGAGGTGTCAAGCTTCTAGAGTATTTCCACCTTCCTTGCACGTCGGAACCACCCTCCAGCCTTCCTTCTACAGGCACGCGCCTCGCCTCCCACTCGCCGGTTTCCCCGCCAACCCAGGCGACACATCCCCTCCTCGCCTACCTCACCCTTCTTTCCAACGACCATCCAGAGAGCACCTATTAGTAGCACGCGTCGCAGCCATGGCGCCGCCCAAGGACTCCCCCGGCAGCCCGACCAAGTCGCGCAGCGTGACCAAGACCGTGAACGGCGGCCACCAGTTTCACATCACGGGGTATTCCCTCGCCAAGGGCATGGGCGTCGCCAAGTACATGTCCAGCGATACTTTCACAGTCGGGGGGTACAAATGGGCGATCTACTTCTACCCGGACGGGAAGAACGCCGAGGATAGCTCGCAATACGTGTCGCTTTTTATCGCGCTTGCGAGCGACGGCACCGACGTTCGCGCGCTCTTCGAGCTAACCATGCTGGACCAGAGCGGCCGCGGGCGCCACAAGGTGCACTCGCACTTCGACCGCTCCTTAGAATCGGGGCCGTACACGCTGAAATACCGCGGGTCCATGTGGGGGTACAAGCGGTTCTTCCGCCGCGCGACGCTAGAGACGTCAGATTATCTCAAGGACGATTCGCTGCAGATTACGTGCACGGTGGGGGTCGTGGTGACGGAAACGGAGGGTCCGAAGCAGCCCGTGTCGATCCCGATCCCGCCGTCGCGCATGGGGAGTGACTTCGAGGTGCTGCTGTCGTCGGACGAAGGCTGCGATGTAACGTTCGACGTTGGCGAAGAGACGGTTACCGCGCACCGGGTCATTCTCGCCGCGCGCTCGCCGATGCTGAAAGCGCTCCTGTACGGCCCGATGCGGGACACGCGGGAGGGAAACATCCCCGTTACAGACATCGAGGGGCCGGTCTTTAAGGCGCTGCTGCACTTCGTGTACACCGACGATCTCCCGACCTCCGGGCCGTCCGCGCTCACGCCGATCATGGCGCAGCACCTGCTCGCGGCGGCGGATCGCTACGCCTTAGACCGGTTGAGATTAATCTGCGAGTCGAAGCTGTGCGAGACGGTGGATGCGGACACGGTCGCGACGACGCTCGCGCTCGCGGAGCAGCACAACGCGCACCGCCTCAAGAGCGTCTGCCTGCAGTTCGCCGCGCAGAACCTCGCCAGTAAGGGATCAGGGGGATTGGGGAAGCCTGTGGGGAAGCTTGGGGGAGAACGGGGGGGGGGGGGGGGGGGGGGAAGGGGGGTTGGGGAGAGGGGAACGGGGAAGGGGCAATTGTTTGGGGTCGGTGTTGAGCATGCGCCAGGGTGCAGCTTTGCTCATTCTTGTGCGCTCCTTCCTTCTCATCTCCCTCCGTCCCTCCCCTTCGCGGCCCTCCATCGTAGCCACAACCCTCGCACCGCCATGTCCGCTTCTTCCCCTAGGGTTGTTTCTCCCTTTCCCTGTCGTCCCTTGCTCTCCCCTCGTCTTGTCTTCCTCCCTACCTTGCACGCGCTCCTCCCCATTATGCATCCTTTCTATCTCAGACTCGGCTTTCTCCCCTCTTCGGTCAACCCACCTGCCATGCACCCTGCCTGACTACCGTTCCTGTCCAACCAATCATGCTCTCCTCCCATGCCCGTCTACCCAGGTGTGATTCAGTCCGAGGGCTTTGACCATCTGAGGGCGAGCTGCCCATCGCTACAGGCGGAGTTGCTGCAGGCAGTGGCAGGCGTGGGGGGCAGCAGTGAGGCTGTAGCAGGGGGGAGTGCACGCAGGGCTCAGCTGGAGCCCAGCTGGGGCGATGATGTCAATGGGGATGGTAGCGACCCCATAGGTAGACGAGTAAGGCTCAGGCTTGGGAATTTGTAGGGATATACCGGTACCACCAAGGTTAGGAGGAGCCCCCCTGCTGTAATACTAATGGTTTCAACTTTAGATGGGACGTGGTAACAGTTGCTGTGTGGCTCAGTTGGAAATGTCCCAATCCTCGCCCCTGATAGTATCTTAATAAGGTTCCACATAGGGGATTGTTAATTGCTACATGATTGGTTTCTTTCGGGTTTATTGATATTTCAGTTACCATGCATTGGTTCATCCATATATATTTAATGAATTGAGAATGTATAGTGTAGTCTCCTTCCTTCGGTCGTACTTCAACGCGTATGCGCTGTTCAGCCTTTGTTTGACCAGACATCCCCAAACTGTCTTTAGGGCGTGGTTCAGCCGTTCCTTGAGAAACAGAAGTCCAGGCAGAGTCCGGGCCCGTTTCGTGAATTCAGCCATTTCTAGAATCACGAAACTTTGACGACTTCCGCGATTCAGTAACCTGCCAACTCCAAACCCGTTCGAAACGGCTGCACCACGCCCTTATGCTGGACATTCTGGAGGCTGCCGCCATGCCCTGAACCTATGACAGCTCGTTGGCTGTAGAGTTTATTACCATAGTCGCATCAGCCGCGGCGCGTATCCCCGCGCAAGTACGCTTTCGAGGTGGCCGCTGGTGCGAGGCTGGCGGGAGGACTAGCGGTATGATCTGGAACTCACGCAGAGTTTCACGCGAGATACGCTCCGTGTACGCGCGCCGCCAGAAAATATCCTAGCTGTAACCCTGCCTGTGTCAGTGAGGCCTGTCCAGGTCAAGTCATTTTGGTTGTTCGCAGTGTCGCCTTTACGAGTGCGCCTGCTCACGGGTTGGCAACAGGCAGCCTGTCACGGAGCCTGTCACTGACTCAGCGCTGCGTCGTTCGTGCTGCCGCTTCAAGCCCTTCTTTTACTTGAGCTGATACTTTTTGGGAAAGGGACGGCGTTTCGTGAATCTGGCACGAAACTTAGCGCTGCGGTCTCCCGCCTGCGGCTCGTGCCTCGTCCAGAGCTCCACTCAATCCGACTCGTCGGGTTGATTACACAAGAGCTCGCCTGAGTAGGGAGAAGCCGGAGCGAAGCTGGGAAAGAAATCCGGGCGGAATCGAGCGAAAACGGGCGGAATCGCTGGCAAGGGTACTTTCGTGGGGGAGTAGCGGGCGGCCATCTGACCGGCAGAGAGGGATCCGTGAGCGCTGGGGCATAGAGCGGGTGAATCCCGCGACTCCAACGGGGTGGCAGCGCTGGTTTATGGGCTCATGGCGGTGGGTCTGGCGCGGAATGCGGGCAGCAGCAGCCATGGGAATCTCGAGAGATTAACAAGGCCTCCTGAAATGAGCTCTGGTGTTAGTATTGTTAGTGGTGGTAGTGGTGGTGCTGGCGGTGCTGGCGCTGGTGCTGGTAGTGCGGGTGGTGGTGCTGCTGCTGCTGCTACTGCGGCCTCTGCACGTATAACCCCCACACCACCGTCTAGGTCTAGTAGTTTGAGGAGTGGTTGGTCCGTTGCTGCTGCTACATCCCTGCTCTGCCGCATGCTCTTAGTCGTCCTCGTTGTTGTGTTCCTCGCCCAAACTACACTCCTCAGCATAGGCTATCTCGGACTTAGGCCCTCCCTGGAGCAGGCTATAGCGGGTACTGCAGTAGCGGGCAAGGAGGATGGGGAAGGAGGATGGAACACGCAAGGTGGGAGGGCGGAAGGTGTGGCGGAAGGTGTGGCGGAAGGTGTGGCGGAAGGTGTGGTGGAAGGTGTGGTGGAAGGGGAAGTTAAAGCGGATGTGGGTACAGGAGAAATGGGGGAGAGCGGAGAGGGGGCGGGTGGCGAAGGGGTAGGGGTAAAGAGCGAAGGAGAAGGAGAAGACATTAATGTGACGAAGGTCGTTGGAGAGAGAACGGGAGGTGGTGCTGGTGGCGGTGCTGCTGGCGGTGCTCCTAGCGGTGGTGGTGGCGGTGCTGCTGGCGGTGGTGGTGGCGGTGGTGGTGGCCAGGAGCAGCAGAGTCAGAAGACATGGGGGAAAGCGCAGGTGAAGTGGCAGGGGAAGCAGGGGAAGCAGAGAAAACGGCAGGGTAAATGGAAGCAGCGGGGGAAGCAGCGGGGGAAGCAGCGGGGGAAGAAGCAAGGGAAGCAGAATGGCAAGGCGCTAGTAGGGGATGCGCAGACCAGACAAGGGATCCAGCACAAAGGCAAGAGAAGAAAGAGGGTGCACGCACCGCCAAAAGCAGAAAGCAGCGCAGGAAACAAACCTAGTGAAGTGGTACCTACTAGGGTGGGCCCTGAGAGGTATTATTTGGTGGAGGGTGGGCACGACCACTGCGCGGGTGAGTCTCATTGGAGGTGGAGCTTCCTGTGCGCGGCGGCAGAGGCAAAGGAGCTCGGGAGGACGATGGTGGTGCCGGACATGTGGTGCTCGGGTGCTCCGCACAGCGGCACGGGAAAAGAGGAGGAGCGGCCGTTCCGGCTGTACTATCACACGGAGCACTGGGGGAGGTGAGTGGGGGAGAAGAAGGGGGGGGGGGGAGACGCGGGGGGGCAGGGGGGGATGACTTTTGAGTCGTGTGAAGGACGATGGTGGTGTCGGACATGTGGTGTTGGGTGCGCCACACAGCGACACGGGGGAAAAGGAGGAGCGGCCCTTCAAGTTGTACTATCACATGGAGCACTGGGGAGGAGAGGGGAGAAGGGAGGCGGCGAGGGAGTGGCGATGATGGTGGTGGCTGTGGTGGGTGGGGACTAGAGTAGGAGGCAGAACAGAAGCGATTCTTGCTGACCTTATTCAGACTGCTGTTTTTTTTTTAGGAATGAGGTGATTTGTTTTCTTGACTGCTTCCCCTATCGTAGCTACTGGCTTCCCTGGCGCAACGGAAAACTGCAACGGGTTAGCCTTCAATGGATTCCCTCCCTTCCTCCCTCCCTCTCCTCGATCCTCCTTTCCTCCCTCTTCCCCTTCCTCTTCCTCTTCCTCTTCCTATTCCTCTTCCTTTTCACGAGCCCCTCTTCCTCCCTTCCTCCCTTCCTCCCTTCCTCCTTCCTCCCTTCCTCCCTTCGCCCCCCCCGCGTCTGCCCTCTCTCTGCTCTGCATGACCCAGCATCCAGCCCATCATATTCGCCTCGGAATTTCTGCACCGGTTCGGCACCCCCCCGTCAGCCACTGCTGCGGACAAGTACCAGCTCTCCTTGCTGCTCCGCCTCTCAGGCATCTCCGCCTTCCTTCGACAACAACAGGAGCCACAGCAGCCTCCTCCGATGCCTTCTCCACAGCAGCAGGAGGGGCAGGGGGAGGAGCCACAGCAGGAGGGGCAGCAGCAGCAGCAGCAGCAGCGTGGCCGTGTGTCGGTGGTTCAGTTTGGGCCCTTCGTTCCAGTCAGTCAAGTGGAGAGGGAGGGTGGGAATGCAACGGTGGTGGTGCGCTTCTTGCAGTGGGGCCAGTTTGCGTATCAGATCTGCTCCTCCAAGGTTCCAGAGAACATGGTCAGTGCCTTTTGCCTTGGGGTAACTTTTGAGGTGACAGGGTAACTTTTGAATGGACGGGGTAACTTTTGAGTGGACGGGGTAACTTTTGAGTGGACGGGGTAACTTTTGAGGGGACGGGGTAACTTTTGAGTGGACGGGGTAACTTTTGAGTGGATGGGGTAACTTTTGAGTGGACGGGGTAACTTTTGAGTGGACGGGGTAACTTTTGAGTGGATGGGGTAACTTTTGAGTGGACGGGGTAACTTTTGAGTGGACGGGGTAACTTTTGAGTGGACGGGGTAACTTTTGAGTGGACGGGGCAACTTTTGAGTGGACAGGGTAACTTTTGAGGGGACGGGGTAACTTTTGAGTGGACGGGGTAGCTTTTGAGTGGACGGGGTACCTTTTGAGTGGACGGGGTAACTTTTGAGTGTACGGGGTAACTTTTGAGTGGACGGGGTAACTTTTGAGTGGACGGGGTAACTTTTGAGTGGACGGGGTAACTTTTGAGTGTACGGGGTACCTTTTGAGTGGACGGGGTAACTTTTGAGTGGACGGGGCAACTTTTGAGTGGACGGGGTAACTTTTGAGGGGACGGGGTAACTTTTGAGTGGACGGGGTAACTTTTGAGTGGACGGGGTAACTTTTGAGTGGACGGGGTAACTTTTGAGTGGACGGGGTACCTTTTGAGTGGACAGGGTAACTTTTGAGTGTACGGGGTACCTTTTGAGTGGACGGGGTAACTTTTGAGTGGACGGGGTAACTTTTGAGTGGATGGGGTAACTTTTGAGTGGATGGGGTAACTTTTGAGGGGACGGGGTAACTTTTAAGGGGACAGGGTAAGGGGAGAGAGGGAGAGGTAGGGGTGGGGAGATGAGGAGTGCATTAATGGAACAAGAGGAGCACACGGGTCATTCGCTCCACTTATCTCATTCCCACACACGATTCCACTCCCACACACTGTTCCCTATCTATATCACTCCCCTCCTCACTCGTCCCTTCCCACTCCCTGTCTCCCCCTCTCCTCCCCCTCCCCCCCCCCCCCCCCCCCCTCCTTGACCCTCCCTCTCCACTTTGCATCTAGGCCCGTCTGGTGCGCAATTACCGGCTGATCTACCAGCAGCCGATGCTGCGGAAGGTGGCGAACAAGGTGTGCGCATCCATGGCATGGAACTTCGACGCAGTGCACGTGCGCCGCGGGGACAAGCTCAACCCACACTTCTGGCCACACCTCGACCACGACACTCGGCCCGAAGCGTGGGTGCCTGGACTTGGGGGGAGGGGGGATTTGGTTAGAGCAGGGAAAGTTCCTCTGGTTCATTCCTCTCGTCTGAGCAGGGAAGATTCCTGATGGTTGCCTTTGTCCGACTCTCGTTTTGCGCCTTCTCCTTTTTTCTCCTGCTGCTGGCCAGCTTGTTGAAAAAACTCCCGCAGTTCATTGAGCCGGGGCGCCACGTGTACATAGCGTCGAACGAGCGCACTCCGGGGTTCTTCAGCCCACTCGCCTCGCTCTACAAGATCCACGTGCTCTCCGACTACCGCCACCTCTGGGCACCCGGCAGCGACTGGCACACGGAGTGGCGGGAGCTCATGCAGCAACTCAAGATGAACGAAACCGATCCAGTCTTTGATGCACACATGCAGGTAAGGAGCATGCTTGCTTTCTAACTAGTTTTGTGCTTGTGTTAGCTCTTCTCTCATGGTGTTTTTCCATGACAGATCTCTCTATTTTTTTTCGTCTATTGCATAGCTTGTTCTTCCATTTGCAGACACTGAAGCTTCCTTATCAACAATGGCTCGTGGTGATAATTTTCTTGTGTATGTGCAGTATATGGTTGAGGATATGGTACTTGGTGACGCCAAGAAAAAAGTGGAAACCTTCAATGACCTCACTAATGACCCACGGCATGGTGTGTAACTTTCATGTGCTGGAAGGTTTTTGTAATTTTTTAATTCCTTGAGATTCTATCAACGAAATCCCAATCCAGGTTACCTTACAGCGATGCCTTTTGTCTAAAAAGGGGTTGCGGTTTGGTACTGCCAATCGCGGCCAGGTCGTCATTGTGCAGTTCGGAGGGTGCGGTTTGTTGGTTGCTACATCAAGTGGTTCCTTGGTAACGTTCGCGAAACTTGTATGGCGTCACTCAATCCCCCGCGTGAGCATCAGAGCAGAGGAGCTTGGGTATTCCAACTACGTGCGAATTCTCGTGACCATGTGCTTCCTGTTTTGGCGAAATGAAAGCCTTGTTGCAAGAGGCGACGCCTAAACAGAATCACAATGGAGGCCCTGCGTCGAGTCGCGTGTTTGCTGCGTGACTGGATTGAATGCTTTCCACTGTCCCAGCGAGTGGGGATGCTTATCCTTTTTCTTGGACCATGCAAATCTGGAGCTTGCACAGTGCAACCAGAAAGACGCCTTCTGCCCTTGGTCCTCCTCCTCAACCCCTACTTCACTCGTGTAAGGATTTCGCGCTCCTATTTAGCTCTCCCCTCCTTGCGCTAGCTGCCGTGCTGTTGGTACTTGAAACTTTTTCTGCCGAATGCATTAGAAGAATTATGCTCGTCCCGCCGCCTTGTACGTTGAGATTCATGGGTGGCTTGACCTTGGGGATAAAAGGACGGCATTGCTAATGCTAGACGTGCCGACATGACTACACTACCAAATGCGAGTGTTTTTTTCCCTCTCGCACCTTCCTTCCTTTCCCCCCTGCAGTCATGCAGCCATCCAGTCTGCCGTCGCTGTGTCCGTTAGGAGGTCGAGGCGAGGAACGTTAAGTGCGCCTTAACGGTCTACCATCTAGCTCATCCTGACCCCAACAGTCACTTAGACTATTCGCTCCGAGGGGTCCGCACAGGCGTCTAGGGCTGGCCACGCGGTGTACAAACTCTGTAGGGGATTCACTTAGTAGGTTGGCCTCAGAGCATCCGATCGAGCGTTTTCCATTTTCCATTTTGCGGACTGAACATCCCGTCCTCACTTTCTGACCTCGTTAAGATTTCGACCCCGTGTTCGAAGTGAAGGCTGCCAGCAACGGAGCATCCTCCAACGGAGCGTTTTCAAGCTTCTCGATGACGGCGACTACATTAGGGTGCCCCGTTAAAGGGCCTTCGCGACAGAAGATCTCGCCTACGACTATCGGATCGGTATAACGCGACCGCTGTAACGGGTACAAATGGCAGCAGGAGGGAAGCAGAAGCGGGTGTATCTTCAGCAGCGGCGGGTGTCCTATGTGCTTGTAGTAACGGAGGAGGCGGGAAGAAGTCAGGCCTTAGGCCTCTATCCCTCGGCTTCGTCGTAGCAGTTTTGCTCGGGACGTGTCTCGTTGCTCGGATGATCGCACACAGCGCGCGATGGTCGCCGTGGTCGCACGATCGTCGCTGGATCTTCGACCCGTCGATCGCACGGCGCCTTGCGACTGGCCGCGATGGGCCGTTGGCAAAGGCTGATGAGAGCCGAAGGGAGGAGTCGCGAGGGAAGAGTGCTACGAGTTCACCAGAAGTAGTCGCGACTAGAGCAGTGAACAGATCTCGTGTCAGTCAGTCAGCCCTTCCTGTCGCACCCGTGCGACGACATGTCTCGTCGCTGGCGACAGCAGCTCCAGCGGCGCGAGCAGCAAAATGCGACGAGCGAGCGATACTACATGGTGGTTGGCGCGCGCGATGCGGACTCCTGTGCTGGCGAGTCGCACTGGAGATGGAGCTTCCTATGCGCTGCGGCTGAAGCGACGTTCTTAAATCGTACTATGGTAGTCCCTATGATGTACTGCACGAGTAAATACCACTCCTTAAGCGACGAGCGCGAAGAGCGGCCGATGCAGCTGTACTATAAGATCGAGGACTGGCTTACGCACCAGCCGCTGATATTCGATACGGAATTTAAGGAGCGCTTCGGATAGATATGGCCGAGGTTCTTAAAGCCGATGGGTGTGTCGGTGGCGGAGTTTGGGCCCCGAATCAGCACGAACCACGTGGCTAGGAAGGCGGCTCGGGCGACGCTGTTGGTGCGGCGATTAAGGGACGACCAGTTCGCGTACCAGATTTACCAACAGGAGGAGAATAAGGTGGGTAAGAATTAAGGTGGGTGAGAATAAGGTGGGCGAGAATAAGGTGGGTGAGATTAGGGCAGGTGAGAATAGGGCAGGTGAGGTTAGGGCAGGTGAGAATAGGGCAGGTGAATGAGAAGGCGTGAAGAAGGAGGCAATGCGGGGTATAGGCGCGATGGGAAAGAGGGCGAAAAAGGGGATGAGGTGAGAGGCTCGGCAGCGGCGGAGCCGGGTACGAGGCTGGCATAAGGTGGGTGAGAATAGGGCCGTGGGAAAGGAGCCCCTACTTATTAGCCCCCAGTCACTACGCCTTACAACCTCCCTCATGTTCTCTTGACGCTCTTTCCCCGCAGTCCAGCGAGGCTAGACGCCGTGGCTCGGGGGCTGGTCCTATCATGGCTCCCTCATGTTCTATTCGGCAGGAAATAGTATTTCTCGTGGCTGTCGCGCATCCATTCTCCTCCCATTTCATCCTTGCAACTCCTCCCTCTCCACCCCCGATCCCCCAAATCCCCCTCTCCCTCTCCCCATCCCGCTTCCCCACCCGCCCCTCTTCGGGGGCTGTCCCCCGCATTCCCCGCCCCGCAGGAGCGGCTGGTGCGGGATTACGGGCTGCTGTGGCGATCGCAGCCATTGGTTCGCCTGGCGAACCAGATTGCGGCGGCAATGGGGTGGTACTTCGTGGCAGTGCACGTGCGGCGGGGCGACAAGGTGGACGAGGCGAACCGTGAGTTCTGGCCCAACCTAGACCGCGACACTCGACCCGACGCGTAAGCATGAAAGACTTATTCGGTACACCTGTCCCACGGAACTGTTCAGAGCCTTACACTCCAAATCATCCTTACATTCCAAATTATCCTTACATTCCAAATTATCCTTACATTCCAAATCATCCTTACATTCCAAATCATCCTTACATTCCAAATTATCCTTACATTCCAAATCATCCTTACATTCCAAATCATCCTTACCTTCCATGCGAAATGCTGGCAAAAAGTTCGTCGTGACGCTGGAATAAGACAAAGTGTAGAGTAAAACAGGTGTACCTGTCAAACATGTGTAGTTATCATGTTCGTATAGACTGTATAGGGTCACCTTCTAGAGAGTACAACATTTAGGTATATGTTTGTGTACTCTCTCTCTCACATTATTAAATTCTAGGTTTGATATGGTATCACGAGTAGGTTTCGACCCCCCCCCCCCCCCCCCCCCCCCCCCCCCCCCCCACCTACCGCTTCCGCTCCTCCCGTCGCGTCTCCTAGCCTCGCCTCGCCCCTCCTGAGCCCAGTCGCGACCCCTCCCCCTAGCCCCGTCGCGCCCCTTCCAGGGCCTCGTAGCGCCCCTCCAGGCCCCGTCGCGCCCCCCCTTCCAGGGCTTCGTAACGCCCCTCCAGGCCCCCGTCGCGCCCCTCCAGGGCTCTGTAGCGCCCCTCCAGGGCCCCGTCGCGCCCCCTAGCGCCCCTCCTGGGCCCCGTCGCGCTCCTCACAGGCCCCGTCGCGCCCCGTAGCGCCCCTCCTGGGCCTCGTCGCGCCCCTCCTGGGCTTCGTAACGCCCCTCCCAGGCCCCGTCGCGCCCCTCCTGGGCTCCGTAGCGCCCCTACTGGGACCCGTCGCGCCCTCCCTGGGCCCTGTAGCGCCCCTCCTGGGCCCCGTCGTGCCCCTCCCAGGCCCCGTCGCGCCCCTCCTAGGCCCGTAGTGCCCCTCCTGGGCCCGTAGCGCCCCTCCTGGGCCCCCCCCATTGCGCCCTTCCTGGGCCCCGCCGCGCCCCTCCTGGGCCCCCATTGCGCCCCTCCTGGGCCCGTAGCGCCCCTCCTGGGCCTGTTGCGCCCCTCCTGGGCCCTGCCGCGCTCCTCCCTGGGCCCCGTATCCACCCTCCTGGGCCCCGTCGCCCCTGCTCGGCCCCGTCGCCCCTGCTCGGCCCCGTCGCCCCAGCTCGGCCCTGTCGCGGCCTCTCGGCCCCGTGGCGCCCGCCCTGCCCCTGTCGCAGCTGCCCGGCCCCTGTCGCACCTGCCCGGCCCCGTCGCGCCCGCCCGGCCCCGTCGCCCCCGCCCGGCCCTGCTGTGTCCTGCCCGGCCCCGTCGCTGCCGCCCGGCCTGTCGCTGCCGCCCGGCCTTGTAGCTGCCGCCCGGCCCTGTCGCTGCCGCCCGGCCTCGTAGCTGCCGCCCGGCCTTGTCGCTGCCGCCCGGCCCCGTCGCAGCCGCCCGGCCCCGTCGCAGCCGCCCGGCCCCGTCGCAGCCGCCCGGCCCCGTCGCAGCCGCCCGGCCCCGTCGCAGCCGCCCGGCCTCGTAGCTGCCGCCCGGCCTTGTCGCTGCCGCCCGGCCCCGTCGCAGCCGCCCGGCCCCGTCGCAGCCGCCCGGCCCCGTCGCGCCTGCCCGGCCCCGTCGCGCCTGCCCGGCCTCGACGTGCCTGCCCGGCCCCGTCGCGCCTGCCCGGCCCTCCATACTTCCTGGTACTGTCCCTCGTTCCCCGCACCACTTTGCACCCTCCTGCACTTTCCTGCCCCGCCTTGCACCACATTGCACCTCACTGAACCGCACTGACCGCACTGCACCGCACTGAACCGCACTGCACCGCACTGCATCGCACTGCACCGCACTGGACCGCACTGCACCGCCCTGCACCGCACTGCACAGCACTACACCGCACTCCACTGTCCTCCACTGCCCCTCATGGCTGCTGAGCTTCGTTTTGATGCTGAGGGTAAGCCTCTGGAGTTCGAGGCGTGGTTGGCTGACCTTCGCCGCCACCTCACTGGTCAGCGGCAGGACGGCCACCCGCTTTCTGCACACCTAGACGGTATGCTCCCCTGCCCTGACCCCCCTGCTGTGCTGCCTGCTGATCCCACGCCCGCTGAGCGCGAGTCCACTGCCGCCGCTGCCCTTGCCCGCTCTGTCTGGCTTTCCCGCGATGCCCTTGCTCAGCTCGCCATTAGCAATGCCCTCCCC